GATTGGGGGAATTAGGTAGGCAATGGGATGTTAGATTATAACATATATAGGTAGTTAAGTGGGTAGTTTAACCAAGTCGGATGTTAGATTATATCTTGTTCTTAAAACTATGAGTGAAAAGAAGGGGATAAGCTTCTAGGTTTCCATTTAGGAATGGCTTCTAACAACTTTGAGCTGAAATTAAAGAATATTTTACCTAAATTGGAAGTTAATACTCTTCTTATATTATATTATATTGTATTATATCCTAAAAGCCTTGATTAAAAGTAAGTTCTAGGTTTACTTTTAGGTTTCACTTTAGGCTAATAATAATATCATAAAATAATTTATAAAAACTTTGATGTTACTTAAACTAGTTTAACTTCTTAAAAGACTTCACCTACATTTTCATTTTGGTTGACATTTAAAGAATTTGATAATGTTTTAATGGGCTTTTCTTCATATAAATTCACCTACTTATAGTTACTTTATTTATATCAATAAAAAATCAACCAAAACTTAATATCAAAATTTAGTACAGGGTGGCCCATGTAGCGTTTGCTTTTTGAACTATCAATAATCATGATTTTGACATTTCGAATGCCATTGAATGTGTCAGATATTTAGTAGAAGCTTTGCGATTTACGAAATGGTACCAATTGGTATACCAAAATTACCTTCTTTTTTTACTTAAATCTACAATATGTACCCAAAAATTAATGCATATTTCTAACACATACTCGTACCTGACAGTGAAATGTAGCACCTTTCCCATAGCTGGGATTTAGTTTGGCGACGGCGACAGTTGTTTCCCCCTTCCTCTCGACTGACTAACTAACTAACCAACTAACTAACTAAGTCAAAGAAAGTGCGATAGAGCTCTTTGGCCGCGTGTTGCACGCTCTAGTGGCGCTTAATTAATGACGCCGCCGAAGCTGCTGCTGCTACTTCTTCTTCTACTGGCGCTGCAATTAACAGCACAGCACTTGCTGCAGCGGCGGGAAAAGCGAGCGGAAGAGCGGAAAAGTAGAAGTTAACTCGACACGCTCCATGAGCTGGGCCCTCCACATGCCCCACAATGTGCCTGCCTCAAAACGAAAAAAAAAAACCCCAAACCGATCTCCGATCCATTCATTGACTCATTAACAATGCATCAAGTTAAGAAAAAAAAACGAAAGAAGAAAGAAAAAAACGAATCAATGGAAAATCAAAATCGAATCAAAACGAAATCGAAATCGAAAAGAAAATTGTCGCATCAAAAGGCGATCAGTGGCGAACTTTGCTTACGGTTACGGTTAAGGTAGTTTTCACTTTTTTTCGATTGTTCGGTGGTTCGCATTTTGTGTGTGTTTGTGTGTGTGGAAAATGGAAATGGAAATGCCAGTGGAAATGGAAATGGAAGTGGAAATGGAGTTGGATCCGAGTTGGAGAAAAATGCCGATGGCGCCGACCACTTTCGAATCGAATAACGGTCTGTGCAAAAAGCCAACGGTAAATCACCTGCCCATGCCTCATTTCTGTCTATCTATCCATCTATATATATCTACCTATATCTATCTATATATTTTCTATAGTTTTTGGTTTTTTTTTTTTTGGTTTTCTTTTGAGTAGATTTATGCTGTTATTTTTAGCTACCGTTTTGGGGGCTTAGCTTGAGTGAAAAGCGCAATAATCAAGATATATATAATGATAATGATGCCTTGGCTATGGGAAAAGCAGACCCCAAATCAAAATACATTTTTAAATGGTTCACTTTCTTTTAATTAAACTGGTTCCAGACCAGCCGGGGCCACCTTTATTTTTCGAGCAAGTTTGTCCACTTTTGGCAAGCCAACAGCCCCCTCCTTCCCCCTTCCACTTCCACTATTTTCCCATCCATTTTCCATTTAGCGTTTTTCTTAATTTTTTTTTTCGGGTGCGCATTCTGCGGCCAAATAGCCAAATGCAATTTTATTCGGTGTAATTAGCCTGGCGAACAAGCCGAGTTGCAGCAATTAAAGTTTTCATGCCACCAAAGTTGCATATACTAAGGATGCCATAGATGTGGCATTTACGAACTTGCAACAAGCTGTGAACAGTCTCTGCCCCAGTCTTAGTCGCAACTTAATAGCTTCAGAATATTAAGTTTTTGTATCTTCTTTTTTTGTTGAAGGCAACAATTTGCCAGTAAATCTTATGGCAGTTAGAGGGAGATAGTGCTAGAAGGAGAGGCAACTAAAGATGACATCGTTTCCCAGTTGTTGTTGTTGTTGTTGCAACAGCAGTTGTCAACAGCTATTCTCTATAGCTGGAAACGTTCAAATGGCTCTGGCAAAGACCGAGAACGTGTCAAATGGCCCCTGACTCCATTCCATCTACCCGTCTACTCTCTACCATCCTCTTGGCAGTTGCAGTTGCTATTCAAATTTGGGCCAGGCCCAGAGCCTGGGAATCATGGCTTGGAGGCCCATTTGCGAAACACTAACCTAACCCTCATGCCTCCCACTCCACACAACTACTACTACTTCTACTACTCCTCCTCTTTCTTGGCCCACTCAAACCGTACCGAAAAGCCTGCTCTGCAGCGAAACTTTTGTTTGGCAGTCTGTTGTCAACATGACAACTGCCAACTGAGAGAGCCAGCTCATCCTCCAACTGAATGGGCCAGCATCCAGCATCCAGCATCCACGACTCCCCCATTCAGAGTCAAGTGCAAACAATGCTGGTTGAGGAAAAACGAGACTGGAGAATAGGAGAAGCGAAGAAGAAGTAGGGACTGGGTTCTGTCTCGGATGCAAAGCCAAGTCCATCCAGCCAGCTCTGCTTATCAACGGATGCACAGACCAAGACCAGAGCCAGAGGAAAACTTAACAACTTTATTGGGCATGTTTATGCCACAGAGTGTTTTGAAGAGATGCTCGATATGCAATGCCCTTGGGTCATTTGGCACTCTTGGTGCCGAAAGCAGAAGACTTCAGTTCAGGCTTTTAAATATTTACTCAGTTTTCTCTCACCAGACTGTTTTGGGATTAGCTTAAAGGCTAATTTAGGAGAGGCCAAGGCTGTTAAGTAACTTTACTTTAGTACTAACTTATAGCTAACTTTAAGCTAAAGTGAGTAAGTGGTTGTCTTGAATGAAAGATGTGGAAACTTAACTGGTTTAATAATCTGAAAATCTAGGCATTCTACGGATTATATCACTTCTTATTAGAACTAATGATAGTTAACTAAAGATAAAATTTGGGATATTTCCCCCCCCCCTCCCCCCCCCTTCCCATTAGGTCAATCAGTACTCTCACTTTTCTAAAAAAAATTTAAACCCGTGGCTGGCCCAAAGATGCACCGAAAGGCCAAAAATGTGCCACGAAAAGTTTCCATTTCATTATGGAATGTTTGTAGAAAGGCAAAGAACAGTTAGACGACGAGACGCCGGCATCCCTCCCCCTTTTCCCTCTTTATGCCATCTACAAACTTGGCCAGTGTCCGAAGTATATCTTTGATGTTGGCTGAATACAAATTAACATTCTGTGAAAGAGAAGAAAAGACTTGTCGACGAAGCTTTATCTTGTATCCGCATCTACATATTGTACATGTCTACATGTATCTGTAGCTGTATCGGATGTATCTACTGTATCTGTTGTATTTTTGTTGTATCTACTGTATCTGCTGTATCTGCTGTATCTACAGTATCTACTGTATCTGCTGTATCTACTATATCTTCTGCATCTACGATGTATCCGCAACTGTGGATGTGAAAGAGCGGCTTCGGCGGCATCGACTGGGAATAGAATTTACTGGGTCGATCGCGGCGGCAGATCATAAATTATGCGTCATCTATGTAAGCTCATCGATGAGGCACGAAGACACGAAACAATGAATGAATGGAAAACGAAAGAATGAACAAAAAAAAAAAAAAGAAACCCAAGGGACAAGGGAGGGTTGAGGTACATAAAAAGCTAAAGCCGTTTAGGGTCCCAACAATAATGGCCAAAGCAAATCATTTGAGGCCAAACAAAGAGATAGTCCACAGCACAAACAGACGCCGCCGCGGAGATAGTTTGCCGTTGCCTCGATAATACTCAATACTCGATACTGGATTGCCGATTCCTAGTGCAACTTCGATGGCAATGCGACAACAAGAATAGCCGCAAAGTTGCCATTGCATTTATGGCCAAGTCGCGTGTTTGTTCTGCTGCTGCTGCTGCCAATCTGCTGGCCTCCTGGAATTGAGTTTATTGTGCCACAAGCGGCGTGCTTTGGATTGTCGCATCAGCTTAATTAGAATTCGAAGTAGTTAACGGTGCATTTAATGCGCTCCAAAACGGATCAAATGCATTAGCACCGCTACCACTCACTTCTACTTCTTCTTCTTCTTCATCAACTTCTTGGCCACTTCAACTTCTATCTTGGCTAAGATCTGTTCTATTTATCTGTTACTATTTGCTGACTCTGCTGGCCGAGACATTCGCCGAGACTAATGAACCAAATGCGGTGACGAAAGTTGTCATAACATTTAATCTGTTGCAAGCCAGAGATGAGGCGATGTCGCACATTGCCACATTCCCACCTTGCCACCTTACTGCACGTCTTAATGGGGTGTGAGAATGTGGTCAGAAAAAGGTGGCCCAAACTGTATGTTAATAAACTTGTTTTTGGCACTCTTATCCTACCATATTATCTGTCTGTCTGACTTGTATCGACAACCGATCATCTTGGCTGTTTAATTAGTAAGTAAGGATGAGTTTTTTGCAATTCTTTCTTTGATTTAAAAACGCTTAGTAAGCCTGAAGATTGTCTTCTGAAATGTGTAAGAATGTCTTGGTAATATTCGTTCCTAAAAGTACCATAAAACCAGGATATATCCTATATCCTTTTAAAGCTAGCTTATACCCTTGAAAAAACTTGATCCCAACTTTCCAAATAGTTAATGGTTTAAAGACGTAAACTTCTTCTTCGATCTTTATACATATAATACTATTTAAATCGCAAATTCAATATCTTAAAGCTAAGCTTATATATATTATTATAAGCTCTAAACTTACCGATAAAGTTTAATCTTTCCGAAGGTCAAGACACAGCAGGTGTGCTATATGCCTGCCGTGGACTCCTTATAATATTTCCGTGCTTTTCCGGCTCTACGTTTGGCAAATGCATTAAAATGTGAGTGAGGCACGAATAATAATAATAATAAAAAAAAGCAAAGATAAACTATGGCTTAAATATGTACAAAGCTGAGGAGGACAGAAGTGAAATCGGAACAGAACGGACTGAACCGAACCGGACCGGACCGCCTAACACGTAACGCAAATAAAGAAGAATCATCATCATCATCAGAGAGTTTTTGAGTCCAAGAGAAGTCCGTGCTCATGGCGACTGATTGATGATTAGTTGCCATTTGACAGGTGTATGTGAGTTGAGTTCAATGTGGGGTGGATGGGGGAGTGCGACCCTCTCGGTCGGTCAATAAATAGTGCACCTGTTGTTTTGGGCGTGTGGGAATATGATCCCCGTCAGATGACGTTGCTACTTTTTTTGTGGGACTAACGTCTATCGTCTGCCGCCGTACGTGCGATTGTTATGATTATTATTATGTATGATTGTTATATTTTTCCCCCAACACGGGAAAAACTTTGGAAAGTGCCAGCCGCCAAAGCCACTACAGCCGACAGAGCTACACTGCTGTGCAGCATGCAACACCTTTGATTTTGATTTCGATTCTGGCCAGGCTGAGAAGACACACTCTGCAGGCTAGCTAAAGATAAAGAAGAATCAGTTGAAGAAGAGGAGGTGTGCGCGCAGAGCACGAAGCGGAGGCAACAAGCCAGCCGCATTTGTGCTAATTGGGAAAATTAGAAAGCATGAAATGCTCGGCTGCATTTGCTGTCTAGCTGGTTAATCGGCTCCACTGGAAGCGCAAGAAGACGAGGCGGTAGATGCTGGAAAATCTAAGAATGGATGGATGTTTCACAGAACTCTAAAACTCAAAGAAGGATAAGAATGGTAAATTTAGGATATTTCCAAACATCCATAAATCTTTACTGGAATCAGGATATGAAGAAGCTGGTGGAAAGACTTAGACTTGAAAGCTCTTCTGGATGCAGAAGAAGTATAGTACTACATCCTGAAAGTATGGAAAATCCTGAATATGTCACACAAATCAAAATTGGCAATCAGGAAAAAAAAACGAAAAAAAAACAGAATTGCTTGTTTTTTTTTGGATAGAAGAAACACTCACTTCACGGGAACGTTTCTTCTTCTTAAACTCTCTTCTCGTTCTTTCTCTTTCTTGGCGTCTTGCTCTTAAGCAAGTAACGGTAACAGGCAGCGGCAATAACAACAAAAAAAAGATATGCACTAACACTCGTGGGCACTTTGGATGTTTTTCTTATTTAATTTTTTTTTTTATGTAGAATTTATATATTTTTTCGTGGGACTAAGACACTAGGGATCGGATCACGGATCACGATCTCGTATCACGACCGGGAGCTGCAGCACGTGTGGACTCGGCGAGCGACGAACGCGAAATACGCGAGCCAGCCAGGCGATACTTTCTTTGGCCTCGTAATGTAACTGTCGGGAACAGCAGCCGTCGCAGCAGCAGCAACAGCAGCAGTAGAAGAAGAAGAAGAAGCAAAAGCACCATCAGCAGCAGCAGCACAAGAAGCACCAAAGAAGAGAAAGAGAGGCAGAGAAAGAAGAAATTCAAGACAGAGCAAGACCTGTACACAGAAACACATTCACTGAGAGAAGCTCTGTCTGCGTCGACGTCTACTGCGACTGCGCAACGAGCTTTTTACACCTGCGTTGGCAGCTGCGCAAATGAGCACAGCTCAGCCAGAACTTGTTGTGTTGTTGCTGTTGTTGCTGTTGTCGCTGCAGCGGCGCCGCTAATCAAGCGGCCTAATGACATAGAATCGCCTGCCAATTAGACGACCAATAAAAAAACCATATATCTAGCACTTCAATAGTATCGAATCCATTTGAACACCCCCGTCAATCAGCAGGAGTTCAAAGAGATTTACTTCTCCTGCAGGAGAAAAATATAGCGGCACTGCCGACGTCGACGTCGGGAATTTGGCGCTCTTGAACTTGAACTTTCAGCGCGTTCAATACGTAGAGATGTCAAAAACTTATGACTGAGTAGATACCCTACACAATTCCTTTACAAATTTTAATTAATCATAATGAAACTAGCTATCTGGCTTCTAACAGCTTATATAATTTTAATATAAAAAATATAATAAAAAAATAGAACACTTAGAGAAGGATAATGGCTATGATAATTGGCATTCAGATAAACATGTTCATATTAAAACCTCTCATATGTACATCTAACTCAATCAATCAATAATTGATATACCCCATGCACCAACCCAGATTATCATCAACCGAAAAGCACACGCAGGGCAAAATATTGTAGCCAGCATTTCTGGTGGGCAAGGTGCATGCATACATAAGTCATCCGGTTGGCTTTTTGGGGCTGGGAACCGATCTGCCGGCTCATAACGGTTAAACAGTTTTCGCCCGTCGTTGACAACTAATCAAGATGGGAACAGAAGTTGATCAAAGCTGATTTGAGCAATAAACAAAAAAAAATCCGTTTCCTCTCGCGATCGCCTGCTCCATCTCATTCGCACACATCGGAATTGGCAAGCTCGCCATTTCACATAAGCATATACATATACATATATACAGAATGTGCAACGGTTTCCATGCTGGCTCTTCTTTTCCTCTTTCATCTTCTACTTCTACTTGGCAGCTGCTTTTCTCCTCATTTGTTGTTAGTATTTGAGAGGCTGCTCCTCTTCTAGCTCTCATTCTCCTTTATTCTCTTAGATGCCTATACTGCCTCTATCTCTCTTTGTAGACTGGGCGCATTTAAACGGTAAAAATCATGAATGCATTTGGAAAGTGGTTGTGTTGTGGTTCGTGGTGTTTGCATTTTGCATTTCTTCGCATTCTTTTCTGTTTATGTGGCTGTTGCAGTTGCTGTGTTGCTGTGTTGCTGTTGCTGTTGCTGTATTGCATCGCACAATTGTGCCAACAATAAGGCGGAGAAATGAGAGGAGCCAGCAGCAGCAGCAGCAGAAGAAGAGCCAGCAGAAGCAGAACAACAGCAACGGTAATACCCACCGAAGACGGCGTTTTCATTTCTGAGAATTGATTGGCCGTCGCGCCTGCATACTCCACACGCCACTGCGACTGCCTCTTCCTCAGTCTCGACTGCCACATCTGGTTTTTTTTTTCTTATTTAATACCCTCTATTGTGGATTGGAGTACTAGGTGGATATTGAGTTTTACAGAAAAACGTAGAAGGATCCCTTAGCCCAGATGAATTTTTTACTGAAAATCTTTCTATAATGTTAAATATTCTAATTACGCACTCATTTAAGGGACAAATAACTCATGTTTCATGCACCAACATGTCTGAAAGTTAAGAAATATGTATTTAAAAATGACATAAAATCAGTAATAATAGGTATTTTCTAGTTTGTAAAACTCACCTTGAATACTTTTGGATTGGCGTTTTTGTTTTTGTGCCTTGATGCATTCCTCTGGATTATATACCGCTGCATCAGCAACAGCAGCACTAGCACCTGTCGTTGCTACTTCTCCCAGACCAGACTGATGTTGTTGCTGTTTCTTGCACTGAGGCCATTGCGATTGTGATTAAATAACGTTTGACTTGGCGGGCGTCCTCCTGTTACCTCCTCGATACAGCCATACAACCATACCAACAAAACCGCGAAACCACCGAACCACCGCTTGGTCCGCTTCATTAGCTCAACATGGGAGCCAGGGCAACAAAGTTGTTTCTGTACCAACTCTCCAACTGCGATTCCCCGATTCTCTGATTCTCTGTTCGCGTTCGCGTTCTCATTCCCATTCCACGCATGCGCAGTCCACTTTTTGAATTTGGCGTCTGTCTCCGTCTCAGTCGCTCGTTCTGTCTTCTCCACTTGGCGTGTTAACTATCGCCATCGCCTGTTTTCCAAGACAGGCATCGGCACACTTTGTCCCCTCCGCGACACTCCTCCGCCCGGTTCGCTAAGGCCTCCCTCCCCCCGAAAACACCCCTCATTCCGGCTCCTTTTGCTGTCATCATTGTAATTCCTCAACGCACTTCTAACGCTGACTCTAAATCCATCTCTGCTGTTCTTCTTATTGCTGCTGCTGCCTTGGGTGACACTGAGAGAAATTTCATATGGTTTTTAGGTTAATATTACTTTTAAATTTAAGGCTTTTCCTATCAAAAATTGTTTAAACTACAAAAATTCATATTTTCATTACTAAAAGTTTATCAGATTGGAATATAATTTACAATTTGTAACCATCTTTTAGTGTCTTTATTTCTTTCAGTTCTTTTTTCCTTAGCAGAGCCTACTCCTCGCATATTGCCAATTTGGCTAAGTCGGCTATTTAACTATTTTTGTCATTCGCTGGCAAATGCTGCTCCATTTGGGCGTGCGCAAAGCGTCGCTTAACTCTGATTTTGTTTCATGGCACGTTGTCGCCCAGTTTCCCACACCCTCCTGTCCCCCCTCTCTGATTTCTTAACCCCCTTAGCACACCACCTCTCACTCAATTGACTTGTGCCCAACACCTGTGTCTCAAATTATGGCCCAAGTCTCATTCATGACACCCAACCAGCATCGTGACCCAGAAGCAAATGAAGCTGTCTCTGTAGACAGACTCCACCATTGTCATCGCCATTACTGGCCATCATTGCAATTGTTGTTGCTGGATGGAGGAGGAGAAGGCGATAACCGGCACTGAGTTAATGTCGATGCTAATTTGCCAGCATAATGGGTTAGTGGGCCGGTCGATGGGCTCCATCAAGATGGATGTTCACCTGTCAACGCATGTTGTTTTTTTTCTTTTTTTTTTGGTCATTTGTCACACAACATGGGCTGCTGATGGCCCAGCCGAATCGAGAAGAAAGCATTAAGGTTTAATGTAGAATCAAGAGATCGCCTAGAAGGTAAAGTTAGGTAAGTTATTTTGTGGATCTAACTAAAATATTTCTTACAGAAAAAGCTATGATCAGCAGTAAGGATTTTTGAGAAGCTACAAGCTGGTTAACATGAAGATCGTTAGTAAGATGCAATTTTTAGAATTACTGTCATTAGTAAGTAATGATAAGAAATTAATATTATCAATTCAATTTCCTGGGAAAGTTTCTACTTAAATCTTGCACTTTGCGGGACTTTAAACTTATGTATATTTTACTGCAAATTTATTGAATTTTTTAAACAAACTTTTATCTTGAGAAAAACTTTAAGTAGTAAGTAATACTAGTTAGTCAATGAATAGTGGTTAATTTGTCAACATGCTAAGTGGTATCTGGTGACCCCAAGCCACCTACAGAGTTGGGCGGTGGCCAATGTGGGTTGGCTGGGCTGGTTTGTGTAGACTGGATTCCCAGTCAGCCCCCACAGGTGGATGTTGAAATGGCAATGGCAATGGCAATGGCAATGCCGTTGGCTAATGGAACTGGCATTGGGACCAGAACGAAGACGAGACTGACACTCAGACGTTGGACAACCACCAATGCCGAAACAGAAGAACTGAAGACTGGACACTAGAGAGACTAGAGAGACTGGAGACTGGGGACTGGCAGTTGTTAGGTGGTTATCTGGCCAATGCCATATAAGTCGAGAAATGCGCAGTTAGGCAATCAATGGCCGGGCGATCCGGCAATCCGGCAGATCGTTTCTTGGGCCCAGGGATCGTGGCATGGAGGTAATCGCAATTGGACTTGGAGTTGAAATCGGCGTTAGGAATCCGCAATGACACTGTCTCAGTGTCTCGGCCATGGCCTCGGTTTTAGTTTTCTGTGTGCAACGTGTGTGTTATGATTGGCAACGCTAGTTGTTGTTGCTTGGCCAGCTTGCTTGGCTATTTGGCTGGCTTACCTGGTTACCTGTTCACTTGCTCGGTTGCCCATTTCCTACCTGATCGGTGGGTTGGAGGTGCCGCCACAGACGCAGACATAGACGCAGGCGCAGACTGTGACCAGCCGGCGGAGCAAATACCGTTTTGCTGAATAAATACAAACAAAATAAAAAGACGCACAAAAACACACTGGCCAAGAAGTGGGAAAGAATATGATTTCGAAACTCGACTAGTTGATGACCTATAATGAGAAATATTTTTAAAGTTTTTTTTTGGGATAAATAAGCCATTGGGGTATTTATTAATTAAGATTAAGATTGAAACACAACACTTGATAATAATTTTGACATAAAAAAGTATCAAAACTACTTTGAAAGGCGAATACATCTTCCCTTAAGCGGACATCTCAACGGACAAAGAACATAACTAATATTTTAAGTTAATTTAAACGCCTTACAACCTACTCAAACCCCCTTGCTTAAACAAACTTAAATCCTAATTACCACTTTAAAATCTTAAATTTTAATTATCATTAAAAAAAATTAAAGCATCTTGAACTAATATACCCCGCGAACTCTGCAAATACCCTTTACCTTGAGTAGCAGTTGAAGTTGAAGTTGGTGATGCGACGGCACTTGGAATGCGTTTAGTCTTCCCTGAACCCCTCTGAAACCCCCTTGGACTAACCCTCCTTCACCACCACTAACCCCCCCTTTCGCCACACAACGAATGCCTGGAATGTTAATGCAGCTACTTCTACTTGGTTGCCGGTTGCCACTCGGTGACAACATCCATCGCCACTGGCAGGGAAGAATGGGCACAAACATTTACCTAATCCATTTCCCATTTCCAAGGCGGCTGCTCTCGTTCCCGTTCGTGATTCTTTAACCATTTTGGATGCTACTTACGGTGGGGTTTTCTTCTTTTGATGTTTTTTTTTAAATAAAAAAGTTTTATATTTAAAAAAGAATTTTTTAGCAATCGAACTTTGAATTTTTACCTTCGAGTAAGTTGTAAGTTTCATTCTTTTTCCTAAGAAGATTTAAACAATATATTTTAACATCATAAAATAGGTAGAAAATAAATACCTTTTTAATCATAAACAAAAAAAAATTATTAACTACAAGCATAAAATCCAAGTTCTTAAAGGATTTTCCTTGGAAAATTACTTAATCAACCCTCTCTACCTAGCTTAACCTATTTGGAATTAACTGCAAAAATAGGACTCGTGGTGGCTGCCACAATCGCTTTGGCCGTGGCAGAGGATTTCGCCTGCCATGCAGGTGATTTATCCGGCAGGAAGTAGCCCAAGGAGCACAGAAGCACCACAAGAACCAGCAGCGCCCAAAAGATCAGATCACAGCTGGCAAAAAGCAGTCGTCCAAGGATATTGCTGCCCACTACAGCACCCAAACGACCCACCATCATAACGAAGCACATGCCCATGGCATTGATGTGCGTGGGATAGAACTCCATGGCAATGGTGCTGACTAAACCACCACAATTACCAATGGCCATCACGACAGTTAGAGCTATAACCACCAAGGCGAACTGCTCGACATAGTGCAGGGCCACCAAGCAGATCATGGTCAACACCATCCAGGCCACTGAGAAAGAAAAAAGAGATAATCAGAGATGAACTACAACCTAATCTCCTCTAGCTACTCACTCAGAAGATTCTTCTTTCCAAAATAGTCGATGATATAGGCAAAGAACAGATATATCAAGACAAAGCTGGCTCCGATTATGATCATTACTTGGTACGTGGAGGTGTCCACTTCCACTGAGCAGCTCGACACTTCATCTCCCAAGCCCGAATCTACATTGAAACCTTGTAGGACAGTGCAAAGCAGCGTATCGTTGCCATTGTGTGTGCCCAGCTCATCCAAGATGGTGGGGAACCACATGAAGATGCCCTGGGCCAGAAAGTAAATTAAGAACTGGATGCAGCAGATGTTCAGGGTATGCCATAGCCGTATGCGATGGAAGAGCGGCACTGTCTGGTGCCAAACGAGACGCACTGCGTCCACAAAACCATGGACATCGGACAAGCTGGCGCCGCCACTTTCCAGAGCCACTTCCTTAACGGGATACTCTGAGGGATCTTTGCCGGAGTTCTTGGCAAAGATAGAGCGCAGGATTTCCAGTGACTGATCGCCACGTCCTTGGACTAGCAAGTACTTGGGTGTCTCAGGCAGGGTGCTGATTCCAACAAGAGCCAGCAGGGAAATTGAGACATTGGCCAAGAGCAAAACCCGCCAGGAGGAGAATCGCATGCCAAGGAAAATGGTCTCAATGCGCAGCGGTAGTATACCAATGGCCATAGCTGGAACAAACATTATTTTTATAATAATTATCTTCTTCCTTTCACCAATCACAAACTCACCTGGAGCAAATATCATGGCCACGCATAGAAATCCGGATAGCAAAGTCACATGCCTTACCCTCGAGCCCTTGCCATGGAACTCGCCACATAAACTGAATACACACGCCTGTCCTCCAGAAATAAAGAAGCCCGTCAGGAATCGGAAAACGATCAGCATCCAGATGTTAACCGAGAATCCCGAAACTATCGAGCAAACCGAGCTGAGACACAGGGCATACTTCAAGGTGGTGGCACGACCCCATGTGTCGGCCAGAAAGCCCATGGCATGGGAGCTCAGAACAACACCTAGAAATCCAGCGGATGCTAGGATGCCCTGCTGATTCAACGTTGGCTGAAGGTCGCACTTCATCTGGTTCATAATCAGGCTAACGCCCATGATCTCCACCATCACGGCCATGAAGCAGAGTCCACAGATGAGCAGCAACTTATAGTGGAAGCGACCCACGCCGGTCAGCGTGATGGCCTCATCGAAAGTGTGTGCACGAGGCTTCTCCGAGAGGTTCTCCTCGCGGCCTCCAATAGCTATTTTAGGGGAGAGAAAATGTGGATATAGATAGGATTATTAGAAGGATCATTCTATAACTACAAACTACTTATTAGGTTATTCATTTTATTATTAAAATGAATCTTAAATCTGATTTTTTTTAAGTATTTTCTTTCAGTGAACATCTCAAAGCAGCTTTGTCAATCACTGTCATTTAATGGGAAACCCTTGAGTTTATGGAATAATTAAAGAATTCCCTTTAACTAGCTTAAAGCACAATGAATTCCATCTCAGTTACCATTTAATCATGGCCTCAACCACTTTAAACTTAGGTGAAAAATCGGAGGATAATCAGGACGATGTTCGCCTGCCCAAGGAGCAGCCACCATCACCCTTCTTCGAAACAAAGACCTTTCGTATAATCTCGATCTTTCTGTATCTTGGAGGGATCAGTGGCCTGGGCATGGTGCTGGCTTTGTACTATCTCATCTTCTTCGACTCCAGCATGCCGGACATCCACCTTAAGTTCCCCGTCTCCATTGGCGGCCATCCAGTGCAGAAAGTACACGAGTACCAGTGACCATTTGACCTATCCACCTATGTGGTAAGTACGAGTACCTTCTCGTTAAGGGGGGCCGCAGGCTATTGCTAATTGGATTTGGGAATGCTAAGAATGTGGAAATGGTATTCTAGACTATTGGATTCCCTTGCTAATGGTGGGAAATAGTTAGTAACTACCTTTAAACGAATCAATGTGGTTACAAAAGAGAAATGTGTTGTGTAGGGAAATTAATAGTTAGTTCTTATATTAAAACATCCTTCAAATCTAAACCTCCAATACTCAAAACTCTCTAAAATCTTGTTAAAAGATCTACCTGGTTTTAGAAACTATAACATTCGACTATATCCCTCAACCAAAACACATTATCCACCGCCATCGTCACTTTCATTTCCTTGACCAAACATGAATATAGAATCTACATACGAACAGCAAGAACCTGGCCAAAAAGAAATGAAGTGAAGTGGATGTGGAAACGTAGAAACTAGGAGGAGTGACGACAACGTTGGCGGGAAATCAAACCGGGTCAAGTGGTCGTCCAAGAACGCAGCACGTGATGCGGATCTGGATCGGTGTCTACTACTCGGTGTACTCGACTATTTCGAACTGCAAAACTAACGAATCTTATTAGCGTTGGCCCCCAAGACGCTGCCGCGCTCCCTTCCTCCTCGAAGCCAACAAGCCAAAAGAAACCGCAAAAAACAGTCAAGCGGAATGTAAAAAATACAAAAAAAAAAAAAAAAGAAGAACATAAAAAGAAATCGAACTAAAGACCAGATCTCCCCGGGCAGTCCAACCAATTGCTCAATTGTGTTCAGTTCGTCCGTAGTGACGGTTACGTTTCGATTTTGGTTACGATTATAATATATATATATTCATTAAGAAGTTTTTCGGATATATCGAAAGTGAATTTATCTTTTAAAAATGAGCGGTCAATCGGGTTTAATGGCCAATCTGGCCGAGGTGGTCAAGGAGGCCAAGGACGAGGAGATCCAAATGCCCAAGTCAAATGATTTCTTTGAGTCTAAGACCTTTCGCCTGCTCACCCTGATGCTGTACATGGGTGGTGTCAGCGGTATGGGTCTCACTTTGGCGGTCTACTACCTCTTTATCTGGGATTCGCGCATGCCACCGCTACCAGTGTTCAAGCATACGCATCCAATTGGCTAGGATCAAATGGTCAGAAACACAGCCAGCCATTTAGTTCTTCCCATCGACATCAGTGACCAGATTCGGGTGAGTGGCCACGTCAAACTGACCACGACAACGTACAGATTTGAGGGTATATTATGGCAGTGATGTCCGATTAGCTAGTTTTTAATTAAATCATGGCTATATATTAAGAATAGGGTTTTATATATACTATAAAATATATCAAGATATAAGTATTGTTCCTAAAATCTTCTATTGGTGCTCGAAAAAGTATGCTATGATTGTTGTCTTACATGAAATTCACATTTTAAACCGAAAACAAAATTAGATTACAAATATTTTCTTTTCCAACTCAATAATTAACTCTGTACTAGCAAACTTTTACACTTCTATGTTTATAATTTCAAAAAACACTTTAATCTCCTTTAGGAAAATCATTTTCTGACCATTTTCCTGCGGTTAGTTTTGCTACCACAGAAAAGATTTTCGTTTTTACAAAAATAAACAGAAAAACTGTCACCACTGTTGTGGGTTCGCTTTGGTGGCTTAATTAGCCCCCGTGGCCGATATCAAAAGTTGACAGCCTGGCACAAAATTAATCCGCTTTGCTACGTGCCACTAAATCGCAGAGTTGGAACCACCTAGTTTCCCTCCATCCATTTGTTTCCATTCTCTGCCACCACCCTGAGGACGGATATGGCGTCAGTCGAATGATTTTGATTTAATCGTGGTGGCGACATCAAATCAGTAGTTGACACATCGCGAACTGGACTGCCACGATTACAATTTTATATATATATCCGTAATGTCCACTCCGGCGGAAACCCCTAGAGTGGGCCTGGGAAATGCGGCCAGTATGGCAAATTTGGCCAAAATCGTGAATCTAATCGAATCGAATGTTAGGGCCGAGGAAGCGGAAGTCTGTGAAGAAGCGGCTTCAAAGGGATCAACCGGTAGCGGAAGTGGCAGCAGCGTACGCCTGGCCAGCAGCAGTGCTCCGCGAAGAAGTGCCTGTGCCACATCGTATGTACCCAAATCACCGCAGCTGGAGGAGATTGTGTTCGCTGAGCCAACGTGCACTGAAAGATTTGCCCGTTATTTCGTGATCGTCATCTACCTGTGTGGTCTCTGCTGCCTGGGATTCTTTCTATCCATTTACCACATCTTCTTCTGGGACTCACGCATGCCGCCCGTCTACAAGGGACAGAAGAAAGCTCCAGCCTTTGGCTAGAGAAGAGTACCTTCATTCATTTACCAAACTAATCCTAACTAAGAGAAGCGTTTTTTTTTCTTTGTTTTTTGGTAAGGCTGTTACAAAGTTATTACATTTTCTGGCCAATATCTTGCCTGTACACAAATTTACTCAAGTCATAGCCATTAGTTCTTATTAAGATGATATGCCACCCTAGTTGTCCGTATTTTCTGGTTCAAAAACTTTTCAACCAACCAAAGTTGAAGTTTAATTATGTGTATCCAACTCTGTATCATGTATGTACGAGGAATAAGTTTCCCTCATGCGCAAGTTATCCCTTCGTTCCGGCTGCCCGAGCTGCTTAATCAGCTTTGTCTGCACATAAGTAAGCAGATGGATAAACCATCCTTAAACTTGGGCTTGGGTACGCCGCGGGGCCGGAATGGCTGTAGGGGAAAATATAAATGGGTAATGGGAAATGCAATAGGCTGGGCCCGAAAACATTTTCGAGGCCAGAACAGCCAGATGAACATGGTAAGCGTGGAGGGACAAGGAGAGCTTCACCTGGCCACGTTGGCGAATTAAACTCCTTGAAGGAAACTTTGCAACAATACTGCTAGGGGAAATGCATGTGAGTAAGTTGGTGGCAGTGTGAGTGTGAGTGTGTCCTACATACTGGCCCACATGATGAATATGCATTTAAGTGCAAGTACAGTGATGTTTCTATTTTTTGCTTTAAAAAGAATTTGATTAGGAATGTTAAAAATTTAGATTATAGGGATTTTCCAGAAATCAAATATAAAAAGTATCGAAAATATAGCATACTTTTGGGCATGCAAGTCCTTTGTTCTAGTTTGCGAAGTTCACCTGTGCATGTGCATATGGGTGTGTGGGTGTGTGACTGGCTATCTCTTTTCTCAGCAGCGTTTATGTGTGTTATTGTGTGCGTGGAGCTTATACAACAAAATCAATGGCCAACATTGCAATACCGTTCGGCCCTCTCACTCGCACGCCTGCATTTCGATTTGCCGAGCCGTGCATTCGTTCCACTCTCGCTTTGCCTTTTACTCTCTCATTTTCACTCGCTCGCTCTCTCTCTGTCTTAGGTTGTCCTAGTGACCCAGTTGCAGTTTGTTAACCCCCCGAAGGCAACGGAAAACGAAGGTGTGCGCGGCGGGTTAAAGGTGGCCTGTGGAATGGGGTGGGGCAGCGAAAGTTTGGACGTCCTTCGCGACACCTGCGAAGGTTGCTGTCAAAGCCAGCAGTGCATCCGCCACGCCCACCGCCGCACTCATCTACAGGCCCCCCCCACCGACGAGAAAAATTGCACAACATTTGTATTTCGTTTCGAAAAGTTGTTTCAATTGCCAAAATATTTGATTGGCATTGAAATTATTGAAATAAACGCAAAATTAATTCAAGCGCGCATTTTAATTTCCGCATGTGAATCAATTGAAAGGGCAATGTGATGTTAGGGGGTTAAGGGAGCCGGGGAGTGGAAACTGCACTTGACACACAAAGAGCGGCAACGTGCCGACGTGCGGTTTGTTTTTGTTTCTGCTGTGTTTTTGTTTTTATTTCGCCTTCAAGGAATTCCATCGAAAAAACAAAAGAAAATACAAAAGACCGTGGGAAGCCGAAAATGTAAATGAGCGCAAGCGAGAGAGGTTGATTTTATGAATGAAATTAAAAGCGAAGATCGCTAATGCAAAACGGTAAACGTTCCCAAAACCGAAGTTGCCCTAAAAGGATGATAAGAGCATGAGAGAGGGATAAACGGAGAGTGTCGTTCGCACACGAAGGAGAAATAAATGCAAAAGCACGAAGGCGAAAAAACGGTACAAACTCCTGGCAAAATCTCTCTCTGCTCTCATTTCGCTTGCACACGTTCGACGCGTCGGTTGGCAGACAAGTTTTTGCGCGCTCTTTTTTTTGTACTTCTAAGCTCGCCACGCATAAACAATAATAATACAAAAAATTAGTTAAAAATATTACAAATATATATATTAAATGTAAACGATAAGAAGGTGGCAAGCTAAAAAAAAACCGAAAAGAACATTGCATTTATCAAAAAAAAATAAATACTAGACTATAACGGGACACTGCCAAAGGAAATTTAAATAAACTTTAAAAAAGGAAGCAAACAAAATCAAGAAGAGGCATCCCTCTTAACATATCGAAACAATCAAAAAGTAAATATCGAAATCAAGATCAAAAATGAACTCGAAACACAGTTCGCTGGAGGAGAAAGTGAAACTGCCGCCCACGGAGACAATAAGCCGATGCTACCAGCCGCAGCAGAGCAACCGCAAGGTCATCCGCATCCTGACCGTCGCCGTTTACGTCCTTTGCGTTTCGCTGGCGGCCATCATGCTATCCCTGTACTACATCTTCATCTGGGACCCTACCATTCGCCCCTTTGTCACCAAGGCCACGCACTGCGGTAAGGTGTCGAGTAATCAACCCGGTAATCACTACTAGTCCACATCATCAGTGGGTTGACTACTCCATCAAAAAAAAAAAAAAAAAGAACTGATGACCAGTGACCAAAAACCAATCATGGGGCGGACAATTTGCGGCCAGCGGTCAATCTGGGACAAAGCCCGAATCTAGGCTATGAGAGTTAAGAGTTAGTGGTGTTGTGGATTGGGGGTGGGGTTGGGTTTATGATCTACCCATTAGCCGTTAGCCATTACCAATGGGCTTGGATTACTGGCTGGCTGACGGCAGGACAGTGTTGACCCCTTTTTTAAGCCGCAAAATAAAGTGCTTTCAACGGAAAGTGTACGCTTAGGTTACAGGCGAGCTAATCAACATCTGTTTAAAAAAAAAGTTAAAAGCTTTAATGCATTTTTAACACTTTAGTGCCAATCGGGAGGGCTTGAGTTAGAAATAAGAACAATAACTCTTTAAAGTCTAGACCAACTTTATGTGGCATAAAACATTAGAACTTAGGACTAAGTACTTCTCTTTAGGGTTAAGAAGTTTCTAGTGAATTTAAATCGTATATTATGACTAAACTTTACATAAATCTAACTAGACTTTCCGAATAAAAATCTTTTTTATGCTAAAAATTAAGAATATGAACCCACAGTTAGCCTTAAAGTAAAAACTACCAAAATTTCTTGGCGAATTATCTGAATTGGCAGCACTTTCTCAGGAAGGACGTTAAAAAAGCCGCCCACATTGTTTTACTCGCTACGGCTTCAGCTCGTTCCGCCTCCATCCTTTCTTTGATTCTTGGCTTTTTGTTCAGTTTTTTTGTAAATCAACTCGAAATTAGGTCAATGGGGTGTCATGCACACGACTACACCCAATCCACCCAATCTACCCGAAAGCACCCACCGCCCCCAAACCGCCCGCCAGGGTGCAGTTTTCCTTGGTGTACTTTCCATTTGTTGTTTTTGCAGTTCAATAAATCTAATTTGATGCAATTAAATACAGAATCTGGTAGCTTAATGAAAGTTATACGCCAGAAAGGCAAACAAATTGCAATTTATGACAGCGTGAATGCACTTTCTGCCAAAGCACAGAATCTAAGGGTAATATGCTTAGTGTCCGCTTTCAAAGTTTTCGCCCCCCCATTTTGCAGGGCGGTTTCTCTTTTCAAAGCCTTTCATTTAAAATTTGATTAACCGCCTGCATAACCAGACGCAATTGCCTACAAGGACGAAGGAGGAAATTGTGATAGTTGGAAGGGTACTAAGCGTACTACTTAGTCGTACAAGGGCGGTTGAAATTTTAATAACAGGATGGCAAATTTAAATATTAAAAGGCGTTATTAAGAGAGCTAGAACCTGGCTTAATATAGCAAATTGCGGAGGTCTTGTCTTGTCTTGTCTAGTATTTGATTTTTCTTTTAAACTGAAAAGCTTTTTTAAGACTAGTAATAAAGTTCTAAAAACTTACTTTATCTCTTCTCCCCCTTTCCAGATAAAATTGTGATACCCGAAAAAATAGCCATTCGCCTCCTGAACTCATCGGAAGTGACCGCGGAGCAGTTCTACAAGCACATCCTCGAGCAGTACCGTATCCTCAGTCACATGCAGCAACAACGCCAGCAGATACTGCAGCGTCAACATCTGCAGCTGCAGCAATTGGAAGCAAACAATCGCTTCCAGGAGGTCTTTGCAACGGCAACTATTATCCAGGCACATCCGCATCCCCATCCACATCCCAGAGAGCCGCCTAAGAAACCGCTATTAGGTCCATATACCCCGGTACCAGGAAATATGAGTCATATGATGGGTGGCGATCAGTCTGAATCTGAACCTGATCCGGCTCATTTACCTCTACTCTTGGACACCTCACCCCCGGTGGATGTTAATGGAATGGGTCATCTAAAGCGTAAGACACATCGTGGTCACTACAAACACCATAGGGCTCGGGCCGGTGGCCAAAAGAAATTGTCCATTGCCAACTCGATTGTCAGTGCCGTGGGTGCCAGTTCAACGCCGAGCACTACTAGCGGAGGAGATACATCGCTGGCCATGGCCACGGCGGCTACTTTGCCACATAACTATATGGACACACCATTAAATCCGGCGGCGGGAACCATTGTTCAGCCACCACAACTGCAGCTATACACCTCGATGCCCATTCCCTTGATCCTGAGCCCCAGTGAGGAGAAGCGTCCTTTACATCATAACCATGGTCATGTGCACGGCGATCGGCGGGGCGGGGCACAATCTGGCGGACGACGAAGGACCACTACGGCCTCAGTTTCCGGCTACGAAGCCCAAACCTACCTCAATCCGTTCCTCACCGGCGAGCTGATCTTCGAGAAGTAAGGGATTGAAACCGTTTAGGTAGTCTGAGGTTCATAGGTTTTTTTTTTTGTATGGCATATAGAGGGAAATACACTAAAGCCAAGATCGGACATGGAGATTAGCTCACAGAAATGGTAAATGTCGAGAAATAAAAGGACAAAATATTGGACATTAATACCTTCCATACCTGATCATACCTATATCAATGGAGAAACTGTTTAGAGGGGCAGAACTACTCACAATAATTCGGTTAAGCTCAGTACTGGGATAAGATATAGTTATATATTTTAATCTTGGTTATATATCTCAAATTTTAGGCATTTCTTATTGAAATTTAAGTTCTTTTATAAGTAAAATATGTTTGCAATTGAAAATCTTTAAAGCTATAATGTAATCCATAATCAAATCAAGTAACTTTTTTCCTCTAAAGTAAACCCGCTTATATCAGTACTGAGCTATAATTTGGTCTATATATACAGAGCCAGGCCCGGCCACATATAGAGGTTAATAAATGTTATGTACTGCAAAAGGATAGTTGGAAACCATAGCTAAACTATAGTCGATGTACCAAACCACAACAAACGAACCACTCAACAAAACAAAATACACTCGAAAATGAGAGATTCACACTCACACACACACACACACGCATAATACGGGACCCACTTCAGTAGAAAGTCACTCGATATCAGCGATCACTGATCACGGATCACGGATCAGGGATCACACACAGGCGGCTCACCTCACCAAGCTCAGCAGCAAACTCACCCCACCTAGGACACTGCTTCCAGGCAGCTAGCGAACGCTACACCAACTACAATAATTAGCCAAACCCCTAGAGTAACCAGTTTACCAGTAACCAGTAATTAGTAATCAATTACCCAGTAACCCATCCAAGGAGTATATATACCCCCTGAAAACGGGGAAGCGGATCAATGTCACTATAACTCAGCATCAGAATGAATCACACTTTACCCACACACACACCAAAGAGGACTTTGTCATTGCCAGATATCGGTTATGTGCGGGATTATATAATATCTGGGTTCTAACTACCTAAAGTGATCTCTTTGCCACATAAACTTAAAAACAATATTATGAAAAGATTGGCATGTTTGGTTATGGCAATGTTGAACCGGAGATTTCTACACGAGGTGGCCAATAAATAATAATAAGCTGACGTATTACCTATAGTCACAAGATAAAACCCGGCGTGCTCAAGTCAAGAACAAATATATAGTTGCATATATAGGGCACATAACCGATGTGTGTGACGTGACATTGGCTTGGTCTCTATTCACATACTTTAACACTAAATGCAAACCTATCAAAAACCAAATACACTAAGCGAAAAAGCGGGAAAGATAGTTGAAAGAAAGATGAGGAAAGTGAAAAGGAAAAGGAGTATTAGAAAGAGAGAGAGATATATAGAACAACTGCATCTGCATCCAAAGACACGAGAATTGAATTCATCAATAATAACATACCTATAAACGATATGCATACAATATAGAATTGAATCTGTAACTGATGGGCATATACCGCATATATATCTTATATACCGCATATATCTTATATATGTATACCAAGAAAAACAAAGTCATTTTGGCAATAATAAAGCATAGCAAACAAAAACTAAGTTATGAACGTGGTTGGTTAAGTCTTTTATTAATGGTTTACTTGGGAAATATTTGATTATAATAAAAACTATATTCCAGTGACTTAAAAGCACAGGTTACTATTTCACCATTAAGTTTTCTAAAACGATTTACAAATATTTCACCACACTTTCTGGCAACTTTCCATTTAACAATAGATTCCGAATCTCACTTAATCCTAATTTATTAAACTCACCAAACTCGCGGTCACAATCTATCACATAAGCGGAATTATCCATGATGTCCTTAAACTTAAAATCAAGATATGAAAGTCTGAACCCAAAATGGGCTGAGGATAAGTTGTGACTGGCGGCGCAGTCCACGGCCAACTGATCAACTCCGTGGCGCTGGAAACTTAAAAGTATGTACGTCCGGGTATCTAAACGGCAGGGGTACGTGCTTCAAAGTCCGATCGCAATTACGTTCTGTAAAGCTCTCTACGGGTAACAGAATCGTAAAACCCGGCCAGAGATATCCAGATATACCAAAAATAAAGACGAAAACAAAAGCTGTAAATCTTAAATAACCACACCATCTCTCCCATCCAATTTGCAAGTCAGTATCGTGGTGTAAAAGTTCTTTGGTCTTGACAGGGTAAGCAAGATGCGAAATCGGCGATAAGGCGAATAGATAGCCAAGACGTCTTACTATCTGAAAGCAACAGATCATAAATGGAACTACCTTTGATCAAGGAATAATCTGGATATCTGATAGTTTTCCTGGAAAAAAGCAAAACCTTTTTTTTGATATCTAAGGAGAAGTAACTTTTCCAGTAAGTGAATATTACTAGAACAGCGGGTTCCAAATTTGTAGGATTATAATATATACTTTTTAGAACCAAACCATTAAACCTTAAAAACTCATAAAACAATAAGAAATTATAAAATGAAAGTTAAATAAAATACTTTATTGATATTCTCCATGCAGACATATCACATTTGCACTACAAAATGGCAATAAAAACATTTAGTTATAGTTTTAGACACCTTTATTAGAGGTTTCAGAGACATTATATTACAAAATGACTGGTCAACGTTTAGGAAATAATTAAATTAAAACCGAAATCACTAAAATTATATCGTTAAATGACAGTAATTCTACTCTTTAGTTCAGTCTAATGAAAACTTCAATAATAGACCATAGCTGATTTTTGAAGAGACATTCTTTTTTTGTTTTTATTTTAAGAACTACATTAACGCCAAGATTAAATCAATTCGATTGATGGTGACTGGATGCCTTGGACCGATTAATATTGGCCTATTATCCAGATCGCCAGAGAAAGCCAAAGCCGTACTGTATACGGGATATAATTGGCCAAGTCACTCCCAGCAGAGCACGTTAAGATAGGCCACCGGAGACGCGACATGCGGTTGATCCCGGGCCATAAACGCACTCGTAAAGGGATTCAAAAATCTAAACGGCCATACACACACACACACACACAGACACAAGCGCGGATACACACATATCTTCTATTGGCTGTAAAACATTTAAACTGATACATTTTAGGCATTGGCTAACAGACGAGATAGCAATAGCGGACCTCTCTTTCTCAGCCATGTCGGTAGGGTTTTTTTTTTACTTTACATTTCAACTTTTATTAGAAAATCTCCTTTTCATAGTCTAGTTTCAATACAGTTGGCATTCATGCTGGTACAGTAAATACGGTACCATCTCTTACATGCTCGAGTGTCGTGTCCATTATGGCCAATATCAGCTATCCATGGGATCCGCAATCATCAGTGATTATGGCCCTGCCTAAGAACTCACTCCTTTCGGTGCGCTTAACTTATACAAAACAAAAAACTTATAACAAAACATATTGCAGGAAGGGTTTACGGCGGACGGGTGAAACATCCCGCCAGTCAGGATCGCATAGATTGAGCCCTAGGGAATTTCGCAGTCGCATTGGATTTCCGATTTTTTACATACATACATACAAAATTATGAATGGAAGAGTGAAAATACGTTTGGTTGGTTGCATGAGATGTCTGCGGATGCGCCGGAAAGTACGGAGTTAGAGAGGTCAAGATGCGCCCACCAAATCGGTGTTAAACGTCTTTAAAACTGAAACGGCGGCGTATCCCGGCATGTATGGGAACCCATCGGCGTGATAACCACATGCAGGGTAAGTGTATTCCGTGCGGTGCCCGTCAGATGGGGACTCAAGTACGGTGATGTGTGCTCCAGCTCCTCGTACGGCAGCAGGTTGTCCAGATTGATAACGCGCGACGAATCCGAGAAGTACTCCGTGCGCTCCACCACCGTTCGGATGTGCATTATCTGGTTCTGCATGCCCACGATCAGCACGGCTATCTGGGAAGATAAATTACACGTGTTGGAGATTCATTGCCATCCATAAACGCTTAACAAAATTAAAAGAACACAACGAACTCCAAATTAACGTCCCGAAACCTTGAAATTTGTGAATGGATAATGGAGCTAATACAAAACTAAGATGATTCAGATTATTTATATCCCACTAAATGAACTCAAACTGCCACACATTACTCACCTTGAATCGTTCCTCGCCAATGTTTTGATGCTTGCAGGTAACCCGTAGGCGAACTGTGTTTAAAGAGCAGCCTGGTACGTCCTCGCCCCATACCATTTTGGCCTTGTTGTACTTAACGCCTCGCGGGAAAAACTCTATCTCCCAGGTCATCCCAGGATCTGCCAAGTAGGAAAACATAATAATATTCTAAATGTCGATCGAAACTCTCAGTCTACTACTTACCGTCATCCTCAGTCTCGGCGATGTGGCGCTGCGAAAAAAAGCAGGTCACATAGTTCTTGTAATCCTCTATCGCATCAAAGTTGTGCACATCTATGTCAACGCTCCAGGTGTCGTTCCAGTAGAGTCGAGGCGTAAATTGTAATTCACCCGATTCGGTGGCTCGCACCTCTCGCACTCTATCCTCCTGGCCCGATTGATAGCTCATCCCAATGGCAATGCGCTCAACAAGGAACTCCTTGTGATACTCGATTAACGGATCCATCAGCAGATGCGACAGCTCGCGTGGCGTCATCATGCCAAAGCGGATGTGGGACACCGTCTGTTCGATCAGCTCCATAAAGCTACCACTGGCGACAGCCTCCATCTGTTCTCGACGATGCAGCAGCCACGTCTGCAGGATGGCAAACAGTTTGTACTCGCTGGTGACAACCAAATCGTTTTGCTGCAACAGCAGTTGCAGTATGGCCGGGTCCATTTCCACAAAGTCTCGCGACTCGGCCACCATTTCGAGGTTCCATTTGAGAAACCGCTTCAGCGTCTCGGTGAGATCGTTGTGGGTGGGCGTGAAGGAGAGTGTATATTGCAGCCAGGAGACCAGGTAACCGCTGGTCGCCGCCTTGGCCACGTGCTTATTCATGTAGCCCACACAGAGATCGATCAGGTCGCGTACATTGTACTTGTCACTCAGCGCGAGCATTGGCATCACCGTCTGCAGCGTGACCTCGATGTGGCCCACGTACAGGTACTTGATGAACTGCGGAAACACCGCCGAGCAGCATGCCTCCTCGTGAAGTTCAATCACATGCTTGCTGCACTCGTTCCACTCTGGATTCATTAACATCACCTGAAAGACGTCACTGCTGGCGCACAGGATAACGCGGTGCGCAGGATACTCCTTCCCGTCCACCAGAAGCACTATATCTGACATCAGCTGTTCAGCGTACAGGTTAGCAATCTTATTGAGCACACTATTCGCATCGATCATCTAAGGATGGGAAAAATGTAAACAGGATTAGATCTTACTTCAGAAATTGTAATGTTCCCCATTATAAGAGTTGCATATCATTTCCATTTTACGCACCGTGCTGGCTCCATCTTGACCTTCTTCTGCTTCGCGACACTTCCGCCGCTTGGCGTCCTGATCCTCGTTGGAGGTGGCTCCGTTCGCTGGATTTTCTGATGTACTCGCACTAATTCCATTAATATTTCCTTGGGGATTAGCAGCTGCATCGCCAGCGCCACCACCTGCTGCTCCACCGGCTGCATCACCAGCCTGATCCGCAACAGCTGCTCCGCCTCCAGGACCGCCGACAACACCTCCACCAGCAGCACCAACTGCGCCAGCAGCTCCTGCGTGCGCACCACCTGCACCGCCCAATCCACCGCAGACAGGCGCTGCTCCTCCGTTACCGTTGGCGTTCATCGGGAATCGGAGATCGACTGGAGCCAGGTCCAGGATTTGCTCTACGCTGGCAAATTGCTCAAGGACACTCTACAGGACGGCTCCGTTAGCATGAGCCAAAGACATGGCAAAAAGTCTGAAATATACAATATTGAAATATAATGACCCAGTTTTTTTGCAGAACATAAGGGCAGTTACATTACTTATTTTAGTTAACAGCTTTGTATTTTGTATTCTCCAGTACAGTATTAGATTAGAATATTTTTATTACTTTCCTCCGATACCATGAATTGATATTGACATACCTATCGTTAGAGTCCGCAGGTAAACAGCTGTTTTTTTCGATAGGCCTCTAACAAATTTTGTTTTCCTCATATCGATTGTTTTCCTTTGAAATATCGAAACAGTTATATTGGGATATCGTCCTTGTGATATCGACTTTGGGTTAAGTTGAGTCACACGGAAAAAATATATTTCATATGTATTTATTTATTTATTTGTCAGAACCTATCGGACCCTTCGATGTCAGATGTCTTTTATCAGACGCAATCAGCTGGTCGGCATGACTATCGGTATATGGATATGTTCGCGGGAAACAAGATTTTAAAATAGAAATTCTAAAGGTCTTTTCTTTTTTATTTAATTTAAGCATTATTATAAGAATAAGTACCCCTGGTATGCCATCTGAAATATGCATGTATAAATTACTCACAAATTCTTGATTAAGTGTTAAGTGCAAATGCTTATTTTTCTTTTAATATTTTCTATTAATTGGGGTAAAAAATAGTTTAGTTCTTGTTTGCAAATCGAATTGTGGTTCTTCACAAACAATAGAACGAAACTGGTGCTTTAATATTTAAAATAAATCTATAGACCTCTAGAAAATAAAAAAAACATTAAACAATTCACTCACGTTTTCCAATAGATATTTATTTGTTTTGTATTGACAAATTCTCCTATAAATGACTTAAAAGTAGCCTAGTGACCACAAAAAGATGTTAAAATTGGAAATAAAGTTCGCTAAATGGCTTTTTTAGTGCACGTCCTGTGCCCCATTGAAGTAAACACTAAAAACATTAAAAAAGGGAACCAAACTGAGCTAACAGGGACGAAACATGAACACAGCGTAGGAAAGTAAGAACGACATCGATTCCAGCAAGCACGTTGTCTTTTAGGTTTTGTTGGTAGATTGTTTAAATGCGGACTCCTCACAGAGGTTTTATGCTGGTATTTTGAAGAGAAAACATTACGATTACAATTAATTTGGCGGGCGTTTATTTGTTCATCCGACTGCTGTTCAACCCCTGTGGTTCTGCAGGAGACCTAGAGCTCATCATGTCCAAGGAACTTCTTGAGGTAGGCCTGCAACTCTGGCAGCGAGCGACTGCCCTCGTACTCGTTCTGGCGCTGACCATTCTTGTAGAGGAAAAGCGTCGGATATCCCTCCACCTGCTGGTCAATGCACACTTGTTTGTTCTCCGGCGCCGTGCAGTCCACCTTAGCGATCTTCACATCACTCTGCACCTGGTGCGTCTCTGTAGCTAGTTGCTCCCATGTGGGTTGCAGCTTTTGGCAGTGTCCGCACCATGGTGCATAGAACTTAACGAAGGTTATGCCCTCGGCAATGACTTTCTCAAACTCCTCCTCACCGCTCAGCTGTTGTGGTATCAGCTTCTTGGCTGCCTCATCCTCGGCAGCAGCCTCCTTGGTGGCTACCTCTTCGTTATCGGCCTTGCCTTCAGTCTTCTCCAGCGGCACGCCAACCATCTTCTCCACATAGGTCTTTAATGTGGTCAGGTCACGAGATCCCGAGTACTTTTCAATCTTCTTACCATCCTCGATCCAAAGAAGAGTGGGATAACCCTTGACCTCGAAGTCTTGGCAAATGGAACGGTACTGGGTGCAGTCGATTTTCGAGATCGTTACGGCGGGCTCCTTTATCAGCTCCTTAGCCAGATCCTCCCAGGTAGGCGCCAAACGCTGTTAATGCAAATAATGCACCGTTTAGCATATTAATTGAGGAGGAATATTGCAAAAGCTCACCTGACAATGACTGCACCAAGGCGCAAAGAACTTGACAAAGTGATTGCCGCTGGACACGTGCTTGGCAAAGGTTTCCTCGGTGAGGTCCACTACCTTACCAATATTAACGTTCTCGACCTCCACACGTTTCACCTCACCCAGATCCCCCTCGGCGGGTGTGCTCAGTTCTTGGTTAATGAAATCGGTGATAGCGGGCAAATCCCGAGTGCCCTTGAACTTGATCGATTCCTGTTCACCCACCTTAAAGAGACGCAGCGTGGGATAACCAGTCACCTGATGGGTGGCGCACAGAGCCTGGTGTTTAGTGCAGTCTACTTTGGCAATGATCACCTTGGGCTCATCAATGTTCATGATCTCGGCCAGCTGTTCCCACAGCGGCTGCAAACGCTTGCAATGACCGCACCTGCAAGAAGTAAGGTTTTGTTTCAGTATTTATTATTGAAAAGTTGTATTAAACCCCTAATCTCTTAAAATTAAATTGATTTTGAAATAGGAGTATAAATCGGTCAAATCAAATTGTTTCCCCTATACAAAGGAATACAAAACAATGAACTGCGATAAGACTTTTGTGCGCTTTGTCCCGAACAAAGAGTTTATCATCTGTGGGGCAAGCGCCGAATCGCATTTTGAGTTTCCTCAAACTCCCCCGCGTAATCGTAAAGTACTTCCTAGCAACATAATTGAAGCTAATCAAATTAGCTCATAGACAACACCGATGGCTTTTGATAAGACCTGGTAGCCGAGGGCTACGAAAACTATAATAGTGGTCAAAATCTTGAGTATTTAGTTTGTCAATCAAGGGGCAACAAAGCCCCTTTGATCGTCTTATCGGAGAACGTGCGATTCGTTTGGAAGACATGACGAATCTTCAGTTCCACGGATCTTCGCTTTCTTGACCAAATTTGGGGGTCACAAATTTATGATAACCAAGATATTCAGGTATTTTTTTAATTTCCAAAAATAGGTATACAAAAAGGCGCCCATGTACGCAAATCTATGTCTGCCTAATAACATAAAGAAGTGTTCCGATTTCTGCTTTCTCGGATTTATAAAAATTGTATTTCAATTCGGTTTCAGGTCATAAGTTGAAAAATAAAATATTGATAAATCACTTTTAACATTGGTTAGCTTATGAAATGATTCATATTGCCAACATATTTAATAATTTGTAGTTAAATAATAATAGTACAATATTATTAAAATTAATTTTTGGCAGGTTTTACTTAGATTGGAAAAATGAACTGGTCAAACGATCGTAATCATAAGTTTAAAACTTTTTGATTATAATTACATGGAAGTTAGTAAAATCGAAATCGTGAAAAATGGGTGATAGTGAAAACAGAAACACCTTTGATATTAATGTGTGCGTGGCTTGGTCACATAAAATAAACGGCCTATGTGGACCGCTGCGATTCGCCGGCAAAAGTTGGCCAATTTGGGACGCAGTTTTCTTTCGATGAACAAGGGAGAATGTGAAGGGAACCGAAACGAATTGCAACTTACCAAGGCGCAAAGAACTTGACGAAGACATTGCCACCGGCAATCGCTTTATCAAAGGATTCTGGGTCCAGCTCCACAGCGAACTGCTTTTCCGCCTGTTTGCCGGTGGAGGAGGCGTCTTCCTCCTGAGCAGCACGGATGAAGGGCAGGAGGGGTGACAGCAGTAGGCCGCACACAGCAACGGATAAGATGGACCTGGCGAACATGATGGACGAATCGTTTTGAGAGATCTAACTGCTGGGGGACCACGTCCAGATACAAAATAAAATTTCGATGACTGACTAGAGCTGCCACAAACGACAATCGATAGCGCACAGCCAGCTGATCATCGATTGTATAAGCCTATTTTATTTTAAACGATATAGCCAACAATATTAAAACGGATATTTAAATTTTAGGGGGAGGGAAATGGGATATCTATGTTTATGTATATTTTTAATTATTTAAGAATTCGTGACGTCTTCCCAATTTTAGTTAATCGATACAAAGCCAAAATATTATTAAATATAATACATTAAATATGTTGTAAATAATACGAAAAATGATTAGAATGCTTTAAGAAGAATAGAAACAAAACTACTTTTATTATCATTCAAAAATTCTGATTCCTCAGCACTCTGGCACCGCTAATAAAATAAAAGCAATACTCATTGATATGGCATCCCTGTAACAACACTAGTTATTTGAGTGTATTGGTGCGTAAACAGCGAAAATGGCAAAACACAAAAACCAACGAATCGCACACACAGAGACGTAGTTAATTTAGGAGAGGGGTGTGCCGAAAAGTTGCTTGTATACCGAATGATTAATACATACGCCATGACGAAGAGAGAATTCAAATTCAACCACTTCGAATGTCGCTCTCCAGCGGGAATTTTGAAAATTAATCATTTTCAATTTTGAAATACACTAGGATTTGTAATTTGAAAAACAAGTTTTGCAACAGGGAAAGCGGGAAAACGCCGCAAAACAGATGGGCGTCCGCATCGAGTATTGCTGCGATATATCGCACGCATATCGCCGCGTCGCACATTGCATGCGTGCAAGTGTGTGTGTATGAGAGAGCAGCAGGGCAAAACTAGAAGGGAAGCCAATTCGACAAGCTGACGCTTTAATGCCCTACAAAATATTTAATTAATTAGGTTATTTTTAGAGTACCTAGGGTCCTTAGAATGATCTTGTTCCGCTCTCATACTTAAATCGTAATTGCGGAGAATAAAAGGATCATAAATGAAGAAGTTAAAAAAATATTTTCTGCTGATCTTACTAACTATTACGTTTTTGGCCTTTCACGTCGGGATTAAGCCAGATCTGAAACAAATGATAATACCTTCTGCCAGGGTATAATGAGCGAATGTCAGGCACAGAAAAGGCAGAAACAGAAACAGCTAAATTGCAGCTGCTATGTTGCTCGTTGTTCAACGACGACGAATAGGGTAAAAACGGCAACAGCGAATGATGGCGGCAGAGGCAACCGAGCGATAGGTGAACTGAGGAGCGTACCTGGGGGGGGATCGAACTTGAGTCGACTGTTAAGTAGGGTTTTTAAATATCAAGTTGCTGCTCGAGCGCACAGCGTAAACTTTGGGTATCGTATCGCATGTGTATATACGATTCCTGAGCTAGCAGCTGTTCGAAAATACATTACTGCTAAAACCAGAATGTTGAAAATAATCGAAACTAATTTCGAGTATTAAAGTGACCGTTTTTAACTAAATTAACGATTTAACGATTTTTTTATATTGAAGACCATATTTGTAAATATTATTGTTGTCAACTTAGGCTATTCAAGTTTTAGCCATGAGCATGAACAAAATAATAAATAAAGTTTAATAAATAATAGTTTTCCCCCATTAGCCTGAGAATTCTGTAGTTCTCAAACAGCTGATTGATAAATTTATTATATATTCTAAAATACAAATTATATGCACCTAACTGCATTTCAGGGCAGTTCTTAACAAACCGACAACATATGCATTTCTATCGATGTTCGTGCTAAGCCATAAATAATTTCGCTTTGCACAAACAAGACTGAAAAATTCACCAAACCTGACGCACCCCCTCATGAATAATGGCACAACGACGCCGCTGCCGCTGGCAACTGGCACAACAAAAGCAGCGAACAAGCAGAGAAACCGTGTTTACACTATGAATATCTTGAATTTCGGAAACGAGAAATTAAGATTTTCCTTGTATGACACTAGTTTAAAAATCGAGTTTCCTATTTATGCATAGAAAAATGCATTTGATGTATTTCAATTCATTAATGGTGTGGTATATATCGCACATTTACCATTTAATTTTATCGGTAGTGTGTTGATATTTAAGTATATATGTTATGTTTATGCCTGGCTTAGACAGGTTTTCATGAAATGGCTGACTGCGCATAAACGCAGTAGCAGAGACGATGGCAGAGCGGCGGCAGCGCGCACGGACGTCGCCGGCAAATTGGAACGCTGAGGGGTGCCAGAGAGATACAGATACATTCGGGCAGCGAGTGCGGGCGAGATAGAGCGACAACTCCTGTTCCCGGTTCGTCATTCCCATATTCTTATTCCCGTATTCCCAATTCCCGTCACACGAGTTAACAGCGCAGAGCGTACATCGCACAGCTGCATCGCATCCGATCCTTTTTTACTTTTTTGTTTTTTGTGGCGTGCTCTTTTGGTAGTAACACCAGTGAACACCGCTCGTAACCCCTTTTTTGTATTGGTTGGTAACGACGCCCCTGTAGGCAGAAAGCAGAGGCAGAAGCAGAAACAGAAGAAGAAGAAGAAGCTCAGCACAGCACGAAGCACACAGGCGAAGCGAAGCAAAGCAGAGGCAACACAGAAAAACAGCAAAGCAAAAGCAAAGCATTGGAGTAGTTGTTTGGATGTGGACGGAAAGGAAGACTGGCGGCGACTAACTAAAAGGTATTTGTTGTTCACCCACTCATCTGTGTGCGTGCAGTACGCTAATGAAAAGCTGTTCTCAGCGTTTGCCAAAAAGACAAGAGGTACGAAACAAAAAACAAAAAAATACCATTCGTTTATTTAATGCTCGCGTTCGTATTTTTTCGAAAACCTAGATGAAAAAGAAATTTTCTGCTGCTGTTGCCTCTGTATATAAGTGTAAGCGTGTGTTTTTGCTTGTGTGTGTGTCCGCCTGACTCTCTTTGGGTGTGCGAGAGAGTATGTTTGCCAGTGTGTGTGTGTTTGTGCTGTCAGTTTGTGCTAGTGTGCGCGTTGTGTGGCGGACCAAAAAGAACCCGACGACGACACTGTAAAAATTCGATTTGTGTGTTGTGCACACGGCGGACGAAGCGAGCAGATTTTTGGCAAATAGTGAGCGATTATCGGATTGAGTAAATACAACAAACAACAGAGTCGGCACAGCAGCAGCATTAACAGTAATCAATCGAAGTACCCCTCGATCCCGATCCCCCTTGCATATGTAATCGTAACTGTAAACCTAATTGTGTGCCTCTTCTCTTCTCTTTTCTTCCTCTCTCCTTTGCCACCTCTTCTTCTTTCCCTGTCTCTCTCTCTCTCACTGACTTGCTCTCTTCTTCCTCGCCGGGACTTTCAACTATCGAATAGCAGTACATTGACAGGAGCAGCTCGGAACGGACAGGATAAGCAGGATAAAGCAGGCGGCAAAACAGTCAGCATAAGATTGGCTTATATATAGCACGCACGAAAACGTATAATATATATATAGCCAGCCAGCCGGGCACTTGCGGAGCAACAAACGTCCTGGGCCCCAAGAAGATACCACGATACGAAGATACCACCAAACATTAGCAGGCGACAACGACACAACCGTAGAAGATGTCCAACGGCAAGGCGACGGTCTCGTTCTTTGAGAACGGGAGCACAACACAATTTGAGTACTGCTACCAGCTGTATCCCCAGGTTCTTAAGCTGAAGGCAGAGAAGCGCTGCAAGAAGCCGCAGGAGCTGATTCGTCTGGACCAGTGGTATCAGAATGAATTACCCAAATTGATCAAGGCGCGCGGCAAGGATGCGCATATGGTTTACGATGAACTCGTTCAGTCGATGAAGTGGAAGCAGTCGCGCGGCAAGTTCTATCCGCAGCTATCATACCTGGTCAAGGTCAACACACCACGTGCCGTTATCCAGGAGACGAAGAAGGCCTTCCGCAAGCTTCCCAATCTGGAGCAGGCGATCACAGCTTTATCGAACCTCAAGGGTGTCGGCACCACAATGGCCAGTGCCCTGCTGGCGGCTGCCGCCCCCGATTCGGCACCATTTATGGCCGACGAGTGCCTGATGGCTATACCAGAGATCGAGGGCATCGATTACACCACCAAGGAGTACCTCAACTTCGTCAATCACATTCAGGCCACCGTAGAGCGCCTCAATGCAGAGGTGGGCGGTGATACGCCGCATTGGTCGCCGCATCGCGTAGAATTGGCCCTTTGGTCGCACTATGTGGCCAATGATCTCAGTCCTGAGATGCTTGACGATATGCCGCCGCCGGGATCCGGAGCAGCCGCCACTGGCACCGGCTCACTCAGCACAAATGGCACCAGCAGCAAGGTGCTTGACGGCGACGACACCAACGATGGTGTGGCCGTGGATCTAGATGATGAGAGCCAAGGCGCAGGTAAGGCATTAATATAATACGCCAGCTGCGGTTAGAATAGAATTCAGAAATCAAAATGTTTATTCGGCTTATTTCATTTGGATTCCAACTGAAATACGAGATTGGCTCCTATTACTTTTATTTATGTTTATGCTAAACTATTTGAGTTTCTTCAATTGCTTTCACGTCACTTCAGCTTTTACTTAAAATAAAAAAGTGAAATTACATATCCACAGGATTGATTTTTATAGGTTTATAATATTTAGCAACTTAGCAAAGGTAATTAGACCTCTTATAATTCCGTTGGCATCCAAAATGTCTATTATTTCTTGTTATTATTCTGACCGCGGCTTACCAAGTAAACATATTGACAATTGGTACTTTAACTGATACTTTCTATCCGCAGGCGGTCGAAACACTGCTACAGAATCGGAGCCAGAGAACGAGAACACCAACCCGGCTGCCCTTACGCCTCTACAGTCGGGCGATGCCAAGAACAACGCAGCTGCGGTAGGCGCTGCCCTGCAGGATGGCGACTCAAACTTTGTGTCTAACGATTCCACCTCACAGGAGCCAATCATTGATGACAACGATGGCACAACACAGACAACGGCCACCACATCCACAGAGGATGGTGAGCCCATGGCCTTGGGTATCGGCATCGGCATCGGTTTAGGTGGCACACCACTTGCCTCCGATTCGGAAAGCAATCAGGAGGCGCCGCCCAAAACCAACAACCTGACTATTTTGACTCCGACACAGCCCTCGACCCAGAATCAGACGCAGTCGCCGAGCCAGCCCCACAAAACTAACAAGCCGATCACCAACAACGGTCAGGTGACATCAACAGTGGATGAAGCGGTCACAGCAGCACCACAGCCAGCCAGCAAAGCGAATGCTGCCAATGGGAATGGAAATGGCAACGGCGTCTTGGGTGATGAAGATGAGGATGAGGTGGAGGACGAGGAAGAGGATGAGCTCGACGAGGAGGATACAAATGAAGCGGAGCTAGAGGCTGATGAGAGCAATAGCAGCAACGGTATTGTGAAGGACAGTAAACTGCAGCAGCTGGCGGCGAACAAAGCGGGAGATGTCGTTTCGCCGGTAGCGTCAGAGGTCGCAGATTCAGCGCCAGCTATTGGACAGAAGCGCACTGCCCTGCACTGCGAGATGGAGCTGAATAACGCAGGTGGTGTAGATGTAAACGTGGGGGAGAAATCACCGGAGCTAAAGAAGCTGCGCAGCGAATGAGGCGGAGGTGAGGATACGAAATACGGATACGGATACGGATGCGGATGCAGAAACGGGGATCGGTTCGGTTCGGCTCGCCACGTATCTGGTGGAAAGACATATGTATGTAGTGCAGTTGAGTCGACATAGAGACATAGAGCAACATTACCTACACTTTACCACAACAACATTCAAGAAATTCTACTATTAAGCAACTAATTATACATACATATAATATATTATATATATATATACAACATATAACGAGAAGCAACACACCCAACACACACTCCACTCTCATACAAACACACAAGACACAACACCATACGACACACACACAGCCCGACGTAACATAACATAACCGATCAGATCAGAGCGGAATATAAGATCCCGATCCAGAAAGCAGAACCACAAAAAACATTTCAATAGCATAAGAAGTGCGCCAAGAAGAATCCGATCAAGAATCCGAAGAACAAGCAGCAGCAGCATCAGTAAAAGAGAGTTCAGAATGCAGCGTTAACGTAATATTATAATTGAAACGAAAAGCAAATGCATACATGAATAGTAACTATAAAACAAGATCAGATTAAAATCGATATTTTTACACAGTCAAAAGGAACATTTAAATATAAAGAAATTTACAAATGCCGCAGTTGCCCACTACATACAAAAACAAAAAAAAGATGAAAACAAAACAAAATGATTAAGATGGAAGAAAAACAATAATTATAATAAAACAGAAACGTAATTTATATACATAAGTATTTAAATTTAATAATAAATCAAAACTTGTCGCATAAACCAAGCCCCCACCACGACCTCCACCCCCTCGACCTTCAACCCCGCAACAATTCGCGCTCTCTTTCTCACAAACACAAGATACGCCGCACACACACAGAACACCCCCACACACTCGGAAGAAACAAAACAAAACTCATTTCAACACTAAGAAATTTTTGTGGTCGTAATTATAATAATATAATTTATAATACTTTATGTGTACAACTTTTTTTTTAACTTTACATATACTGAATTTTTTATAATTTATACGATAATCATTTTTCATTTAATTTTCACGAAAAAAGAAACGGAAGCGAACATAAAAAAACTGCATCTTAATTGCACCCGGCGCAGGTCGGTCGATCTCCGGATGGTTTGGGTTGCTGATAACGGGTGGTTCCCCGATACCCACGACCCATACAATCCGCAGATCTGCCGGAACTAAAAAAACATCTCAAAATTATAATCATTTTTATTATTAGTAGCATAAGTCCAAATAAAATGTGAAATATTAAGAGAACACGGCATAAAACTGAAACCATCACCGAAACATCTTGAATTGTTGGATCGCTTCAATAAGATTTTCAAACAGTGTTTGAATAGGCATTACGTTATTGAGCCTGTGGTAATCGTTATCGTTGTAGTCATCAACTTATCGCTGATAACAGCATTTCAAAATATGGCAACGTCTGGTAACTTCTTATCTAGAGGTGAGTATATTAAAATGCTTCGTAAAACGATAGTTTGTCACTGAATATTATTTTAAATTATATTCGAAATGAAAGAACACTCGTAAACGATTTACTAGAATTCTTGAATATTTATATTTTTTGTTTTTAAATTTCCTATTGCTTTATCTTTTCTCTAATGAACTTAGAATTTGAATAAACTCACGATAGAACTTGAAGTCTAAGGAACTAATTAAATTGATAGAATACATCACAAAATTAATTTAATGGTATGTAAAAACACATATTTTACAAATCAAATAATAGAATTTTGATAAATACAGAATACAAAAAAATATATCGATAGCATGTGGAGCCTAGACAAACGATACTGTCGCCGCTGTCATCGATTGGCTTAACATCAGCACTAATCAAAACAGTGTTCCCAGAACAGGACGGAAACATATAGAACAGAATAATTTCGCACCTAATTTGACTGTGCCACGACTATCCTCCTCCACCTCCTCCTCCATTCAGAGTTTCATTTTGGACTTCAGTGAGCAGCGTGATATTTGCAATCGCCCCATACAACAAAAACATAAATTAAAGCGAAGCCCTACTCCCCACCCCTGCTCTCCGACCATGTCATTAGATCGCTATGGTCGTTGGCCAGATCGAAGTTAATTGGGATTAGATCAGTGAAGCAGTGACTATGCGCCGGGATCGAAAAACCAACGAATCGAAGTCCACATAGAGACCATTTCCGGAGTCGTCCTCGTTGGGAGCTCTTTTACTTGACCCTGTGATAGATCGATTTTGATCCCGGCAACCGGAGGTGGGCAGAATCAAAAGGAGGAGGAGTGGAGACAACGACATGCTGTTGATTCGTCAGCTTTTCGGTGCTTCGGCCAACTCCTGGGCCCGTGCCCTCATCATTTTCGTCCTGGCATGGGTTGGATTGGTCTATGTCTTTGTGGTGAAATTGACCAATACGCAAGGATCACAGGCTGCCGGGGAAAGTGAGCTTAATGCACGCCGAATCTCACAGGCGCTCCAAATGCTGGAGCACACGCGCCAGCGCAACGAGGAGCTCAAACAGCTTATTGACGAGCTGATGAGGTAGGTGGACCCAGCTGAGAATTCAATAGAAGATATTACAATAGCACAAAAGGTGTGCGACACTTCAAGGAAATGAGTTCATTGCAAATAATTAATTGTTTTTTGTACTTCTTAAACACTTGTACTAACTAAACAAAGGGTTTTACATATGTGCACTATGAGTACACAATGATTGCAATATTTAAGTAACTGCAAAATATTTATAGCAGAACAGGATTAAAAAGATATATAGTAACCTTCGTAGTTAATAACCATGGTATTGATAGATATGATACAAGTTTGTGCCTAATTTTCATCAGTTTTAACTACAAGTTCCTTTCGAAAATATTTCTTTTTATTTAAATACCTATATGTGAACTAGACATTTTGTATAATTTCCTGGTCCACCATAATAATGGTCACCGTATTGCTGATTTGTCAGCTGCGTGACTAATTATGCGTGGCACGTCGACGGAATTACACGCGATAAGCTGCTTTACTGACCAAATCCCCCAACCTCACTTTCTTTCAGTGACCAGCTGGACAAGCAAAGTGCACTGAAACTGGTACAAAGGCTGGAGAACGATGCATTGAATCCAAAGCTGGCAGCTGAGGTCGCCGGTCCGGAACCAGAACCCATGTTCGAATCAGCGCCCGCTGATCTGCGCGGTTGGAATAATGTTGCCGAGGCAGCGCCCAATGATCTCCTTGATGCAGGTGGGCCCGATCATGGCGAATTCGAGCCCAGCCTGGAATACGAGTTCACACGCCGACGCATCCAGACGAATATAGGAGAGATCTGGAATTTCTTCAGCAGTGAGCTGGGAAAGGTGCGTAAGGCAGTGGCCGCCGGTCATGCGAATGCCGATCTGGAGGAGTCCATAAATCAGGTGCTGCTTCAGGGCGCCGAGCACAAGCGTTCGCTGCTCAGTGACATGGAGAGGCTGCGTCAGTCCGATGGCTACGAGACCTGGCGCCACAAGGAGGCGCGTGAGCTTAGTGATTTGGTGCAGCGGCGTTTGCACCATCTGCAGAATCCCAGTGACTGTCAAAACGCTCGCAAGCTGGTCTGCAAGCTCAATAAGGTGCGTTTTACTTACTATGATTTTGATCTTGTCTAACTCATAATTACTAAATTCCCAGGGCTGTGGCTACGGCTGTCAACTACATCACGTCGTGTATTGCTTTATAGTGGCCTATGCCACGGAGCGAACGCTTATCCTTAAATCTCGTGGCTGGAGATATCACAAAGGAGGTTGGGAGGAGGTATTCCAACCGGTGTCCAACAGCTGCCACGATGCGGGCACCGCCAATACATATAATTGGCCAGGCAAGCCCAACACTCAAGTCTTGGTGTTGCCCATCATTGACTCGCTGATGCCGAGACCACCGTACCTGCCGCTTGCCGTTCCTGAGGATCTGGCGCCGCGCCTGAAGCGTCTGCATGGAGACCCCATCGTTTGGTGGGTGGGGCAGTTTCTTAAGTATTTGTTGCGACCACAGACGACGACGAGAGATTTCCTCACCGCTGGCATGCGAAACTTGGGATGGGAACGTCCCATTGTTGGGTAAGTTAGTCGTGAGTTTGCATTCCTTGCAGAAATTCAGGGAGTGGACCCTAAAAATTTCTTCTTTCCTTTTGTAGGGTCCATGTTCGTCGTACTGACAAGGTGGGCACTGAAGCGGCCTGCCACAGTGTGGAGGAGTATATGACTCATGTGGAGGACTACTATCGCACGCTGGAGGTCAATGGCAGCACTGTGGCGCGACGTATTTTCCTCGCTTCTGACGATGCTCAGGTTATTGAGGAAGCGCGCAGGAAGTATCCGCAATACCAGATCATCGGTGATCCGGAAGTTGCACGAATGGCGTCCGTATCTACAAGATACACGGACACGGCACTGAATGGTATTATACTCGATATCCATTTACTGTCCATGTCCGATCACTTGGTGTGCACGTTTTCGTCGCAAGTGTGTCGCGTGGCCTATGAGATCATGCAGACGCTTTATCCGGATGCAGCGCATCGGTTTAAGTCGCTGGACGACATCTACTACTATGGCGGTCAGAATGCGCACAATCGCCGGGTCGTCATAGCGCACAAGCCTCGCACCCATGAGGATCTGCAGCTGCGGGTCGGTGATCTCGTCTCGGTGGCTGGCAACCACTGGGATGGCAACTCCAAGGGTAAGAACACACGCACCAATCAGGGCGGACTGTTCCCCTCGTTTAAGGTGGAGGAGAAAGTGGATACCGCCAAGCTGCCACTGTATCCGGGCGTTTAGTTGGTTGGCGCGGATACATAAACCGTCCCCTTGGCCATGTTGTTGATTGATCTGTGAATCATTTCTGCCGCATTCCACCTGGAATTTTCATGGTGCAGTTCGATTCGGCTCGGATCAGCATCTCCAGAATCTATCGAATGTTCAGAATCTCAAATGAAATCTCGCTCGCTTTCTGTAATTTTTTTAACCAAGCCCTGTGCTTCTTGTGACAATTTCTTTGTGTTTTCGTCTAAGCACTTTTACTTTCTGATTCCGATACCGAATCTGATTCATAATTCTGCATTTGTACAAGTCTTTTATTAATTAGTAAGTCTAAAGCCGAAGAAATTATGTTGACAAGGAAATAAATTAGAAACAAATATATAATATATATATATATATATATATACATATATATAAATAAATTAGATATAGGAGTGCATGTAGGATCACTAAGCGCAATATAGTCTATCACCTGTAAAATAGTTGAAAAGAAAACAAAACTAAATCTGATTAAACTCAAGCGTAAATAGTAAAATAAATAAATAGTAATGTTTTAAAAAGAAAGGTGTCGTTTTATTTTTATAATGGATATTAAATTTGAAGCTCAAAGACTCATGGGATTGATGATGATCCCAGCAGTATCCCCATGTCGGTGCTCCATGAGTCCAAAGTGGCAGCAGTCCAAAAAACGAGAAAAACAGAAGTAGAGGAGAAGTTCCTGGTATCCATTGCCGATTGACTGGAACTGGGAGTGATCACAGCCTATCCTCCAGCCGATCTATCCTTATGGTTGCAAAGTAGACAGATTTTAGCCTAGTTAGCGTAGTATCTCCATGTATACATAGGTCCCGAAAAGTAAGAAAAAAAGGAGCAAAACAAAAAAGTACCTGGTCTCTAGGGCCGATGGACTGGGAGAAATCACAGCCGGACAGTGTATCCGTGTGGGTGGTCTATAAGTCTTCCGAAGTGGCAGCAGTCTATAATTCAGAAAAACAGAAGTAGAGCATTACTTGTTCTCTATGGCGCTAATGGAATGGGCTAGGGACTGGGACTTCCCACAGCCGAGCAGTATCTCCATGACGGTGATCCATAATTCCGAAGTAGCAGCAGTCCATAAACGGGAAAAACCTGATCTCCATAGCCGATGGACTGGGCCTAAGAGTCGGAGTAATTACAGCTGGGCAAGCTTAGCTTAACGTAACTTATTCTTAAATTATCCACATTGCATTGACGGCATGCAAGCCGATTGCAAAAATTGCGGATATGGACCTACTATGCCCCTCGGCTTATTCATCAAAAATATAAAAAAGTTTGCCACCTACCTTGATATCCGGCTTGCTGAAGATCAGTCATGGTGTAGTAGGCATCGTCATCTATATCCAGCACCTCACGTCATCCAGAATATGAATTCCAAAAAAAAAAATCCATGGTGCACTGCATCCTCCATGGAGGCCATGTCCAGGTACCACCAATATGATGGTGGGTACCATGGGACCACATGAAGGCACTTAGAAGCACTGTACTAACACATCACACACACACACACAAATGAGTTGACTGATTTTTCACCGGCCAACAGCGCCATAGTCACAACATTTCTGCTAGAACCTGTTGGGAATTACAAGTGCCACGGAGTGCACATAACTTGGAATTACCAAATATAGCCGTTAACTTTAAATTTTTCGGTTATTTTTAACTGTTTAAAATTTTAAAAAATTGCTCTTAATAGTTAAATTTTCGGTTTATATTAAAAATTAGATTGGCATTAAAATAAATGTAAGAATTTTGATAAATTATATATTTTTCTTTACAAAAAATCTGAAAATTGCTAACCATTTTTAATTTTTAAGCGATGTAAGCTTTTACATTCCATTCAATTTATTTGCCATTAAGTGGCCCTATTCCTCTTTCATAATCCTGAGAAGGAAGCAGCCTTTCTGCACATGGAGCTATACATACATATATTGACTTTGTCAATACATGTCCGGTTTTGTTGCATTCTCTTAGCTCTAACTTTGTCAATACAAGCCGCATGGCTAAAACAATGACTGTTTTATGAAGCTGACTACCAAAGCTTCAAACATATACTTACTTTTATCATTATAGTTTTAATATTTTGGTGCGAGCTCCTGATTAAAGGCTGAAAAATGAGGAAACCTATTTTTAACAGAAATTTGCAATACTATGTTCGGTTTTCTAGCTCTAGCTAGGCCAATACAAGACGCACAGTCAAAAGAACGACTGTTTTGTGCTGCTAACGACCAATACTAACCACCCATATCACTTGTTTTTCGATTTTGGGAAAATCGATTTTGGCCCAAATTTCGCATTTTTGATAAGGGGTACCATCATCAAAATTTTCAAAAATGGCCCAAAAATGAAGTTTCCCAGATTTGAATGCAAATCAATTGGCAATCATGGCAATCAAATTACGAGCCCTACGAGGTATTACATTCCTAATTTGGACCGTTTTTGGCTGTGCTATGGCTAAAAAACTGATTTTTTTGTGCCCAAAATCAAGTATACGCCTTTTGGTAGCAGAGAGCCCGACTTTGTTGCAGTTGCTTAGCTCTAACTTTGCTCAGACAAGACGCACAGCTAAAGCAGTGACTGTTTTATGCAGCTCACAACCAACACTTTAAGCCCCTATACCCACTTTTTACAGTGGTGTACTGCTCTTTTGCTGCGAGTGCTGATTTCATGGCTAAAAAATCAAAATGCAATATTGGTTGCGGTTTTTAGCTCTAGCTCGGCCAAAACAAGACGCACAGCCAAAAGAACGACTGTTTCGTGCTGCTTACGACCAATACTGGCCACCCCTATCACTCGTTTTTCGATTTTGGGAAAGTCAATTTTGATCAAAATTTCGCATTTTTGATAAGGGGTACCATCATCAAAATTTTCAAAAATTGTCGAAAAATGAAGTTTCCCAGATTTGAATGCAAATCAATTGGGAATCATGGCAATCAAATTACGAGCCCATCGAGGTATTACATTCCTCATTTGAACCATTGGTAGCGAGGTATGTTGTATTTTTTTAATGTTAACGAAAAATCTAAAATTCTTTTTTTCATATTGATTTCCTTTAATTTAAAGCTTGTCTAACATATTGGGTCAAAAACCTTACGCAGTCGGTGAAAGTGCAAATTGACGTTATTGTACCCTATCGGTGAGTCAAGTTAAGTTAACCCCGCTGGACCACCTCGATGACCGCAGGAATTCCAAAAAACCAAAACAAGAAAATTCCCAAAACAAAAAAACAAAAAAATTTCAAAAATAATGAAACGTGATAAGCTTCCCCAACGACTGTAATAATAATAATAAAAAAAGAATAATAAATATATATTTGGTGCACGCATGTGTATGTGCTTGTGCATAAATAAATTAAAGGCGTCTGTGTCTGTGAGTAAGTGTAATTAAATACTCAATGAACCGCTGATAAATTACAACAACAAAAATATGTGAGAAAAAAGCGGCCAAACAGGCAGATAAACCGGGCATCGGGGAGTCGGAAAAAGGAGCTTGCCACGCACTTCTACCGACCGTTGGACAAGGTCAGATCGTTGTCGTTGGCAGCTAAAACGGATAAGCCGCCTCATTCCGGGGCTTTGACTTCTGATAACCGGCGACCCGGCTGTGTATAAAACGTTTCGCTTGGGGCCCAAACAACAGCACTTGCGGACCAGCATCCAAGTTGATAACATCGCCATCCAGAGTTTCCAGATTTTACCAAATCCAAATAAAACAGAATGTCGCAATTCACCGTCGCTGCTGCCCTTTTCGCCTGCCTGATCGTCATCCTGGGAGGCCAAGAAGCTATGGCTGCCATTGCCAAGGTTAAACTGACCAATCCCGGTAAGTTTATGGTGTTTAGTGTTTTTAAGATTTACTTTTTAATCATAACTCAAACTTATAGAGCAAAGAGTAACTTCTGAAAAAATATTTACCAAATAATTTTTTCCATTTTCAGATCATCCTGGCCAGTGTGTGATCGACGGCGGCCTTTTATTGTCGCCCGGTCAGACTGGTAAGGCTCCAAACCGGGAGTGCACCAAAGTCGAATGCCATTCCGATTTATATGTGACCTTCAACACCTGTCCAGCTGTCGCTCCACCCAAGGGATGCAAACAGCGTGACTTTGTCAACACAAATCGCGATTATCCCGCTTGCTGCGAGCGAGCCTACGATTGCAACAAACACATCTAAACACTTTTCACGCACACTTTTCGATTGGTGATCTGTTTTTTTGTTTTTTTTTTTTGATTTATTTATTGTGTATACTACAACATAACAATTAAAATGTAAACGCTTAGCAATACAATTAAATAATTTAATAGAATCATTAACAGAAAATACATATGCATGTATGCTTGCTTGTGAGGGTGTAGTTGGGTTTGGATAATGAGGCAAGGACCTGTCCGCGGCTCTACCTATATCTATATCCGATTCGGCTCGTTCTGGCATCGGGTAATACATCACTGTACACGGGGTATATATATTTGTATATATATATATAGTAGTTTGTTGCCCAACTACTCTACACTAACTGATAACACTAGATGGCGGGCGCATAAAACAAAATATAATAAAATAAAAAATCAAATAAAAAGTATTTAAACAAAATCACAAGGACGAAAAAAGGCAGAGAGAGGTAATATAACTAGGCATGTATGTATATCTACACCTGCGATTGTGTGTTTGGTTTGAGGCTTTGATTTTGGGCTTCTCGAAGCCCCAGATAAAAACCCAGATCCAGAACGAGGCGAATTCGAAATCGCAACGAGCCGTTTAAGGTTGAATCCTATTTGGTGTCTCTCCTTTTGCAATCGCAATTTCCTGTTTTTCTTAGTAACTTTTGCTAATTCGTTTGTTTGTTTGTTTGTTGGTTGCTTGCTTGCTAGTTGATTGTTTGTTTTTTATGTGTGTGTGTTTGTGTGTGTGCTTATGTAGCTCAGCGACCACGCCCCCGTTGCCGCCTATCGACTGAGATTGTTGATGTAGAGCGCGTGCAGTTCGGTGCGCGGAGTATTCTCAAAGAGGGCGGCGCGGTTCTGGCCTTCGCCCTTCTTAACCCAGTGCCCGTAGACACGGAAGGCACAGCCATCGATGACCTGCAATTAAATTTTAGTTAATTAATGTATAATAATAATCACATTGTAAAAACATATACTAACCTTGCGCAGAACTTTGACGCGATATGGATCCCGGATGGCCTCCTCAACGTGTAGCGGCTCGGCGGTGTAGCGGAGGCGCCGTATCCGGATAACGGCCCGTATCACTAATATGGCGAATTGGAACTTTTTGCGCGCGTTGAAGCGACTCTGTTTCCGCAGCTAAACATGAGAAACGGATAAATACGGATTAGAACTTTCTGTACACTTCGGACATCAACTCGCTCATTGCGGATCGATCTCATTTTTACATATTTCTTTTTATTTTTCTTTTGGCTTTGTGTTTGGTTAGAGGTGCACACGCCATGGGTTAAATTTCGGGGGGTTAAATCGTTTCGGGGGTTAGCAGTTGGTGGATTACATATTAATGGTTAATGGTTACACCTTCGGACAAGTATAAAAAACTAGAGAACAACACGGATCGGGGACAGCGATATGTTTCGAGTGCCCAGTGTTAGTTTTTGGTTGTTATTGTCAATGAAGAATATACATCTTCCAAGTTAGTGTCTCGATGGGTGAGCATTATTTCTGTAGCATTAGTTACTAGTTTTTTTTTTTTTTTTGGGTTAGAGTGTTTTTAGGTTGGTGGTGGGTGGCCAAGCAGACGCATTAGTAGAAGACAAGAAAGCCATTACCGAAAGCAAATCAAAGGTCAGAGGTTAGGGATTAGAGGAGTAGTTACAGTCAGAGAAACATTTTCGAGTTGACGACAACATTGACGCTATTTACGGATTACCATTAAACTGGCATGATTGTAAATCATAATATAAATATATGTGTGGCATTATGCAGATAAAAACAGATATACATTGACTAGTTTTTTGTTTTAGGTATGCGGAGTGGGCGTGTGGTTGTATGGATAAATATATATATATATAAGAATAATAATAATACTGTATGCAAATCTATCTCAGTTTGACTTGGTTTACTCACAAGGGAGTCTCCACAACACCGACTTATAGACACACATCTTATAAGGGCGTTGAGACTCTGACAATATAGAGAACATGACACACAAACAAAACGTGTATAACATCATCAACAGAGGAGAAATTAAACAAAATAATAATCCGTCAGTGAATCGATTTTGGCGTTATTTTTATAATAGTTACGATTATAGAATGGGCAATAGATATACATATATATGCACCCAAAAATATATTAAATCTTTAGTTAAATGATTTTATCAGCTCTTAAACTTATAATTTGTATTATCCATTAGATAAGCTAAGCTTAAATAGTGATATTGATCATTATTAATTTGGAATTAATAGTTATTATCTTTGTTTTTTTTTTTGGGTATATATACACTGAGGGTGAGACACGTTAATCATATTTACTAGACTAGCATGCAAGTTAGCTTAGTTTACTATCCTGACTTCCTCCACAAGACACAGAGACAAATGAGAGACACTAAGATAGGCGTTTTTTTTTTTTGGGGTGAGATTAGTGACAGACGACGATTCACCGATCACGACTACATCTATATAGCTATAAAGGCTATACGGCTATGGCTACACAGAGGTATATACGGCAGAAGCAAGTCAACTACATACAGTTCTTGTAAATATCATCCAGTTCACCCGAGAGATATGTACTAGAGAAAGGTGCATATAATACAAACATAGTGTTTACTCGCTATGATATGACTAAGTGTCAGCTATAAGAAAATACAATAATAGTAATAGTATAATGCAGTAGAGATACTTTTTCAAAATCTTAAACTAAATAGTAGGCAGATGTGTATGTGTGTGTGTGTGTGTGTGCGTGTGAGTGTTGTAAGCAGCATTTGACCGATCGCCCGATATTACAATCCATTGGGATCCAACATCTTAGAGAGAGACAGCCGAACGGTATACTGCATGGGTGAGTGAGTGAGAGGGATGTAGGTGTGTGAGTGAGTGAGTGATACAATGGAGGTGAGTGAGTCGAGTGCAGCTTGTCTCTGATGATTTATGGAGTGGAGTGAACTAAATCGAATCAACTAAAAGCGCTAGAAATTAATCAGTAATAATACGTGTGGCATCTAAATAAATATATATAAAATATATAATAACCCACGCGGCTGTCAAAAAAAGTTAGAAGAAACGAAAAAAAAAATCCATACAAAACTGACTAATACAACTTTTGAAATAAAGTATGTAACTTGTCTTTAACAAAAATCATTAAAATAGTTGTATGAATTAACTTTAAATAAAGGAAATATTATGTTCTTTAAGGTGTCAAATAAGTTTAGTTCATAATTAAAAACATGAAAGAAAAGTTAACTTTAAATAGGAATTTTATAAACAGATATCTTTAGAGCTCTATTCTTGGCTAAGAATAAATATTTTATATTAAAATTGGTTACCAGAAAGGGTAATAATGTGTTTTTAACAAAGTTATAATGTTGTTAAATAGGAAAATCAACTAACAATTATAGAAAAGTTGCCATTAGAACAGGATATATATTTGTCCACGTATTTGGTATGAAATTTTTCGTTTTCCTAGCGTTTTCTGCCATCGACCGTTGGGCCATTTGTGATGGGAAAGCAAAGAAGAAAATCAAAGGAAAACCTGCCTGCACTGAAGGAGGTGCATACACCGATTGCTTGCCATCGCCATTGCCTGGCGGATGATGCAATTGCAATTGCATCGGCAGTTGCGTCGTCTGTTGTTGGTGATACTGCTGCTGCTGCGTCTGATGCTGCTGCGGTTGTTGCTGATAGTACACTGTCGCCGTTAGCGTTTTGTGTGAGGTGGCGGATGCCATGGAGGCGTTTGCCAAGGCCGTGGCAGACGTGGATGAGTTGGATGACATGGCATGGCAGGTGGCGGAGGCGGATACGGAGGCAGCTGCATCATCAAACGGCCCGTCACGCATACGATTCGACGAGTAGGAGCTCTGTGGCGCACAATATAGGTAACCGGGGGCACCACCGCCACTACTGCTGTTTAACTGCCCAAAACGGTACGATGATGCCTCGGAACCGAGGAGGTACCTGTTGCTCGAATGGGCGGCCGACAAAGTCGGAGCCGGTGCATGCCGGCGGTCACCCATTAACACCTGATCACGTCAACACCGCGATTTACAAATAACAAAACGGAGGAAGGATGAGGTTGGTGGTTGGTTGATTGGTTGGCAGAGAGGCAAGGGCAGAGGCAGCAGCAGAGTGTGGGCGCGGAAGAAATTAAAATTTTGTTATCAGTCATTGGGGGATAAATCAAAAGGGGGTGAATCAGGTCGTACTAATGCATACATATATAAATATATATCACCTTAACTTACAGTCTATATATAACCTGGCTTAAAGAATACATCCTAGTAGGCTAATTCCTATTCCTTTACACTTCATACTTATATGCACCTTGATTGGGTTTTTATGTATTTGAAATACACCCCTACCTTGATTTTCATTACTTTAAAGAGAAATATCTTTTGGATGCTTTCTTATAAATTGGTATTATCCCTTAGAATCAAGGTATGGGTGTATCATCCTCATATCTCACTGCCTTTTCTCCTTCTTCTCGCTGGCTAATGGTTAATGCACGTAGACATGCAGTGACTCAAAATTGGGAAATTTGGGGTTTTGGAGGGGTACGGTCTGGGAAAAAGGAAACCCTGCAGGATTTTATCTTTTGGTTGGCATGCAGACACAGTTATTAACTTAACAGAGAATGATTCGAATGGCAAGCGCATAGCTGCAGACGTGTGTTATCGTTTTTTAGTTATCGAGGCAATCGGTTGTTTTGTACAATAAAGAAAAACACACAGAGGGAGCACAAGATCGACAACAACATCGAGTGTACAACGAAATGGGATTAGAGGGAGATTTTGTTATCATCTTGGGGCATCAATCAATCGACAAGCAAAACAAATCAGATGCAAAAAAAAACGAAGCAGATCAGGTACGTTTTCTTTTTTCTTTTTGCTTGTTTTTGTCAGTTAAAAGTTATTATGTTGGCACATGACCTGAACGATTTATAAATATATAAAAATAGTATACAATTGATATGCACTATGATGTACAGTTTTTAGCTGGGTTATATTAGATCGGCACAGAACGAAACAGAACAGAATGCAACGGAACACAGAGACGAATATATGCTGGGCCGGCAGGATTGCATATATGTGGTCATGAGTTGGATCTGCCGGCCCGATTATCGGGATCATCGTTATTATAGCGATTACGGCTCCGATATTAAATGGATACGGAGACACACAGCACAGAGATTTAAAGAGAGAGCTTGGGTTAGTCCGGGAACAGTTCGTTACCAGTGCGATCTCAGTGATGCGACTCATTCGTCGGGACTTGGTCGACAGGCTGCGCTTGAGGCCATCAATGTTTTGCTCGAACAGCTATCGATAGTGTGTGTTTGTTATCGTTCGTTTTTGGTTCGTTTTTTTTTTTTTTAAGTTAATTGTATTCGATTTGATAAATAGTTTATATGTAAGGAAAAGAAGAGAGAAAATGTTTGGTATAATAAATAGTAATAGTAAAAATTAAAAAAAAATTAACACAACGAGGAGTGCTGCTTAAGAGGGCCCGAAAGGTGAATTTTTGGGGATCCAAACTTATGACAGACCCTTGTCAGGCCATAGATCTGACAATTGGACTATATACTACGGGGTGGGGTTAGGCTGCTACCCTAACCAAATTATAAATCATAATCGTATTTTTTTAGGAGGTAACAGTAAGAAGAAGAAGCAGTTAATAGGCTGTTGTGAGTGGGTTGTGAGTCACAGGTGTGTTCTTTCCATCAGAGTGTGTGTTTGTTTGTTTTTTTTTTTAGGTGTATTTTGGTGTTTAGAGACATTTGCAGGGACGGTTGTTTTTTGGTTGGATTGATTGTGTAAAGGATCCCCTCCAGAGGTTAAGCCCCTCCACTAGAGATCTATAATCTATATACAAGGAGAGGTGATGCGAAAACTAAAGACTGCTGCCCGAACACACAAAAGGCGACTCGAAGGCGGACCTCATTATTGGCGGCTAAGTGGACTAATTGGACTGATTTTTCCCTTGTACAGGTGGTTGTAGTGCTCTTAGTTGGGGCTCGGCGGCGGCTAACAATTCCGGCACTTACCATTTGGTTGAAGAATGGATGTCTTAATACTTCCTTGACGGTGATACGTTGCGCAGGATCAACGACTAGACATTTGCGTATCAGATCCTTCGGATCCTCTGAAAAACAAACGGGCATAAAATTAACATACATTTTCCATAACTATAACATTCGACTAACCTGAAATATCAGCCCACTCCGGTGAGGTGAAGCTGTACTTGCCCTCCATGATATTCCGCAACATGACCATCTGCTTGCGGTGCCAGAAAGGTGGACAACCGACGAGCAGCGTAAACATAATCACGCCACAGGCCCAACTGCAAACAAACAAAAGAGAAATGTTTAAAAGGTGTCAGTTTTAGGAAAAGAAAAGAATTGGAAACCATTATAGAAAGCGTTTAACTATCAATAATTTTTTGCTGAGCTCAAGTAACGTTAATACCAGTGGGAAACGTCCAGCAGGCCAATAAACAAAAGACCCGTACATTTTGCTGAACCAAAGAAAAATAGACAACCGTATCGGAACTCATCAGATTTCAGATTGTAATGACGCACACTCCAAGATCAAAACAATTCGATTGACAAGTAACGTTTATAAAAGTGCTATATAAACACCTATCAGCAAAATTGGTCTCTAAAAAAAAAAATGGGTCTAATTTCGATGGCATTTCCTTAATATTTTTGTATGCTCAAGTAAGAATATGACGCTAGCTTTTGTAAACATTAAAAATCAAGTAATATTTTTCGTAGAACTTTAACAAGATTTAACAACGTTGTCAGCACTTTTAAAGTTACTGACCAACTCTTTAGACTCAAGTCAAGCAACATAAAAAAAGGGGCATATACTGATAAATATTGCTCTTACATGTCCACTTCCTGCGAATAGCCGGGGGATCCTTCGAACATATTGCATTTTAGCGTTTCCGGCGCTAGATAACCAGGCGTTCCACACAGATCTGTAGGAGATATTATATAAAGTTTTATAAGGGAATTAATTCCCAAGGATTCTTCATGATAATCACCTGTCAGTTTCTCGCCCTCCTGGAGCTGCCTAGCGAAACCAAAATCCGTGATCTTAACATTGTGATTCTCGTCGAGCAAGATGTTCTCGGGCTTGAGGTCGCGATGGACAATGTTCTTGGCGTGTATATACTCGACGCCCTCGAAGATCTGTCGCATAATGGTACGCGTCTTCTTTTCGGAGAGCGTCACCACGGATGTCAAATAGTCGAAGAGCTCGCCTTTGGGACACAGCTCGAATACGAGGAAAACAAATGCATCTGACTCAAACACATCCTGCAGATCAACTGTGATTGCAAATTTAAAAAAATGGGTTAAAAATCAATTTCTATATTGTGTGCTAGAAGGACTAACTTATGTAGGGGTGCCCCATGACCTGGCGCAGTATTGAGATTTCTTGTCTGGTTGCTTCGAGCATATGATATGGATTCGTTTCGCCCGCCTCTGTGGTGGCGCCCAGGTCGATGATCTTGGCAGCGAATTCCTTGCCCGTCTCCTTCTCGATGCATCGTCTCACGGTCGAACTGATGCCCCTGTAAGACAAACATTGGCTTGAGATAAGCTCTGCTGCACTTGACATTGGCATGATCGGGAAATTTATCTAATCTCTAATCGCTTCAATTGTAATAGCCCTTGTTTTCGCTTAGTCTCTGCTATTTGCTTAGCAAATTGTGATCTTCAGTGTGGTGTACGAAGAGGAGAAGTAACCGACAGACAGGCGCCACTTTAAAACCCATGTCATTGCTTCATGTAATGAGCTGAAGAAGGTTGACTCACTTGGCACCATTTAGCCAAACTGCAGAGCCATAAACAAATTGGCATTACTGCAGACTTAGCAGTAGAAGGTTGTGAAATCAGAAAAGATCGATCGTAGATATTTCTGGGGATCACTTGTAGGAACTATTTTGATTATGATAAGTTAGTGAGGATATTTCGATACATTTATGTAAGATTCCCGTCACAAGGATTGCTTTTAAGTTAATTTATGTAAGATTCTCTTCGCAAGGAATGCTTTTAAGTTAAAGTTAAAAAATAAAATGAAACATTTCAGGTTTAAATGAAATAAATTTTTGCTGAAAAACCAAAAAGTAGTTTTTAATTTTCCCATCTCTGTTGGGGATATCTTTTTCTAGTCCTATCAAATGTCTTTTGATCCTCACCTGCCCAGAATTTCCTTGGGCTCGTATTTGGCATAGAAGCCCTTGGCCGCATCCTTGTCGGGCAGCAGATCATCCTCCTCGTCCTTGGCCATTAGATCCAGTGAAATCTTGCCGGCTGCCGAAACGGCAGGTTGGAATCTAAATTTGAAAAAACAATGGATTAGGATTAGTAAAGGATGATAATGATCGTAATCAGATCAGTTACTCTGCCGGGCTGCTTGTTAATGAAGATGAGATACGGCGGTGTCGAAGCGGAGAAGGAGGAAGAGGAGGTGATGGTTTTGATGATGGTGTTCTGTTGATGAGGTTGATGCGATCGTTTAAGGCGTTGCTATTTTTATAACGACAATGTGGGAACGAACGGACGTGCGACACGAGTGGAATCTCTGCGACTGAGACTGCGACTCTCCGACTTTGCGACTTTCCGACTTTCGTTCTTTTCTTTTCGTTTCAGTCTTTCCTTTTAATTACCAAGCCTCTGCTGACTGCGCCGCTGGCTGCGCTGCTCCTGTTGACTGCGCTGCTCCGATTCGTTTGGAAGTGGAAGTGGCCTGTATCGGTTAACTATCTCTCTTGCCCTTTCACTCTTTCTCTTTCACTCGCTCAGCTGTTGGCGGCTGATTTAATTAATAACGAATGCCAACTACAAACAGAGATCGATTTGAATAACAGGCAAAAATTAAATCAAAAATAATAGAATTAAAATTTACTAATACACAAATTGTTACTCGGTGTGTGTGTTGTGTTATGAATGATTACACAACTACAACGGTTTGTTTTGTTTCTATTTCAAAAGAGGTGCATTATTTTTGTTATGTTCTGCTTTCTTATCACTGATATACATCGTATTGTTGTTGTTGTCATTTGATTTCTTGCAGTTGTTTTCCTTCTTCTTTCATGCACACACACAGCGGAGACACACCAGACACCGATTATGTGCAGCAGGTTCTTTTTGTTTTTGCTTTGCTCTCGTTTTTTTTCTCATCCTCCTTTGCAATCACACACACACTCGCGCACACAGACGCCGCACAGCACACACATACTCATACACACGCACCATCGTGGACATCCAACTAAGCGGGTACATTTCAATGTCAACTAAGGTTAAAAGTAGTACGCTTTTTGCGGAGTTGGCGCGCGCACCGCCCGTAAAACACATACACGTGTAGCCACTTGGCTCTCTGGTCGCTAGTAACGACGTCTTTTTCGTTACGTTTCCAATTGCCGCGAGTTTTCTTAGCCGTTCCGTTGCATCGTCTGTTTACTTCTTTATCCGTCTACTTTTCGCACTAATAATTGGTATAAAAATACCAACAAAAATACCAAGAAAGAAAAGCCAGCAAAATTGGTCCTACTCCGCTGTAATCGATATCGGTATGTAATTTGTATACATATACTAAATAAATCTATATGAAAAAGGTAACACTGTTACAAGTATTGTTATCGGTATGACTAAATAAAAGACTTCAATTTGATGATATCGATTACTTAGTAAAGACATACTCCATTACAGGGTTGAAAGGCTCAGCATGTAACAGAATAAGTGTGGTGTGTTTAGCAAATACATGCTCCCTAAATAAAATCCCAAAATCCCTTAAATTAAATTCAAACTTTATAAATTAAATTCATTTTTGGAAGACTTTGATGTAATGTTTAAGAAACGATTAATTCCACATTTGGGCCATTATTGGCTTAGTTGTGGTCGAATTACTGCTATTCCGAGGGGAAAATCAACAGTCATAACATTGTTTTGGGCAAAAAATCAGTTTTTTGGCCATAGCACAGCCAAAAATGGTTAAAATTAGGAATGTAATACCTCGTAAAGCTCGTAATTTGATTGCCAATTGATTTGCATTCAAATCTGGGAAACTTCATTTTTGGGCCATTTTTGAAAATTTTGATGATGGTACCCCTTATCAAAAATGCGAAATTTGGATCAAAATTGACTTTCCCAAAATCGAAAAACGAGTGATAAGGGTGGCCAGTATTGGTCGTAAGCAGCACGAAACAGTCGTTCTTTTGGCTGTGCGTCTTGTTTTGGCCGAGCTAGAGCTAAAAACCGCAACCAATATTGCATTTTGATTTTTTAGCCATGAAATCAGCACTCGCAGCAAAAGAGCAGTACACCACTGTAAAAAGTGGGTATAGGGGCTTAAAGTGTTGGTTGTAAGCTGCATAAAACAGTCACTGCTTTAGCTGTGCGTCTTGTCTGAGCAAAGTTAGAGCTCAGCAACTGCAACAAAGTCGGGCTCTCTGCTACCAAAAGGCGTATACTTGATTTTGGGCACACAAATTTCAGTTTTTCGGCCATAGCACAGCCAAAAACGGTCCAAATGAGGAATGTAATACCTCGTAGGGCTCGTAATTTGATTGCTATGATTCCCAATTGAATTGCATTCAAATCTGGGAAACTTCATTTTTGGCCCATTTTTGAAAATTTTGATGATGGTACCCCTTATCAAAAATGCGAAATTTGGGTCAAAATTGACTTTCCCAAAATCGAAAAACGAGTGTCAGGGTGGTTAGTGTTGGTCGTTAGCAGCACGAAACAGTCGTTCTTTTGGCTGTGCGTCTTGTTTTGGCCGAGCTAGAGCTGAAAAACCGCAACAAATATTGCATTTTGATTTTTTAGCCATGAAATCAGCCCTCGCAGCAAAAGAGCAGTACACCACTGTAAAAAGTGGGTATAGGGCCTTAAAGTGTTGGTTGTGAGCTGCATAAAACAGTCACTGCTTTAGCTGTGCGTCTTGTCTGAGCAAAGTTAGAGCTCAGCAACTGCAACAAAGTCGGGCTCTCTGCTACCAAAAGGCGTATACTTGATTTTGGGCACACAAATTTCAGTTTTTCGGCCATAGCACAGCCAAAAACGGTCCAAATGAGGAATGTAATACCTCGTAGGGCTCGTAATTTGATTGCTATGATTCCCAATTGAATTGCATTCAAATCTGGGAAACTTCATTTTTGGCCCATTTTTGAAAATTTTGATGATGGTACCCCTTATCAAAAATGCGAAATTTGGGCCAAAATTGATTTTCCCAAAATCGAAAAACGGGTGATAGGGGGGGTTAGTATTGGTCGTTAGCAGCACGAAACAGTCGTTCTTTTGGCTGTGCGTCTTGTTTTGACCGAGCTGGAGCTATAATACTAAAAAAAAATCATACAGAAATTGCTCTATGTTGTTTTAGTTTTCAACTCACGGACGTTCACTCAAGGACGTTCAAAACACTCTACTTGATGTTGATGTATATTATATTTATTTACGGAATACAATTGTAAAAAATATTTAATAAGCGCTAAATGTATATAATAATTATGAGGCAAATGTTACATTTTTCTTTTGCTTTCTTCCGGATGGGCAAGGGGGGAATCTTATAATGTTTATTATTTTTGTTTTTTGTTTTTTTTTTTAATGTCTGTGATGGTGGCGGAAGAATTGGAAGGGTCGCAGAAAGGTATGATGGGTCACAAGATCGGATCATTCAGATCCATTAAGTTAATACTCCGGCGGACATCGGACATGACCGCTCGCTTCGTAGATTTAAGTTACCTTCGGGATGCAGTCGGAAATACGTTGATTTGTTGTTGTTGTATATTTACTATCAAAAATGCCGTAAATGGAATACACAATACAAATACAAATAAAGCAGCGAAGTTGTTCATTCAGTGCCGTGTAGATACATTACAATAATATAATAATTATTAATTTATCGAAAAAAAAAAACATATATATATATATAAAGAAGACAGACACACACGCTTGCTGTTGTTCACATACACATCGGATCTCTAGGCCTACAAACTTACAAATAATATCTATTTATATACGTATCTTTATGGATTTCTTGCCATACTTGGTTTACGTTGCATTATTTTTTGTTTTTACTTTTTTTTTTATACTTCGTTTTGTTTAATTCATTACGTTTTTTGTGTCTAACCGAAATTGATATTTCACCTAAGCGCACGCTTTTCAATTAGGGGAATGGTTTCGGGGCTAGGAAAAAGGGGTTTAAGGGAGGCTTGGGAAGGTTTGGAAACCGGTAGAAAAAGAGCTCCTTGCTACTTGCTTCTGGGTTTTAGCTAGCAGCGGGACAACTTAATACAGCAAATCCGTCTTCTGTGTACCCTCGCTGTACACAACACTCCCGCCCGGCGTCGCCGTCAGATGGTAATCATCCTCGTCCACAGCTGAACCGTTCTTGGAGGCACCTGCTCCAGGTCCTGATCCTGCTGCCGCTGTCGCTGCTGCTGCATCCGCTGCTACTGTATTCTCATCCTTGTTCAGTCCCTCGCCGTTGCCCGCAATGCAGCCATTCCCATTAAACATTAACCGGCTGCCAGCAGCTCCGGCTGGACTGCTCCCGTTACTGCTGGGGCTGTGGCTTCCGTTGCTGCTCCCACTGCTGCTGCTTTCAGGCAGGGCGTACCGGGTGACACCCAGCTGGAAGAGGTTGTTCATCTGCGAGCCCTTCATGGGCGTGTAGAAACCCAGAGCCGTGGAGCCTGTAAGCATTAGGAGATTGAGATTAGTTTAGTCTTTTTTTATATCAAAAAATCCTCGTGGGGATTTGGGGGTTAGTAAGGGTGGCACCGAGTTGGGAAAATATAATATAATATAATATAAATATTTATATATATAATCAAGGTAAGGTGATGTGTTGTTTTTATGGATAAAATGGGATCTGGTCCGGATCTTTTCAAGCAAATGAAAACGAAACATGAGCCGGAGATGGAAATGGAGATGAAAGCGATGGAAGTTGAAGGTTTCTCATGATATGACTAGGATGGATGTGCCAAGTGATTTTGAGTGTGTGTGGAGACAAGGAGTGTTGTGTGTGTGTGTGTGTGTTCTAAACTGGGTTAGTTACCTTAATAGTAATATGAATTGGCGATTAGTTTTGATTGCCCAGCGGAGCAGACAGAGCAAGTGCACTGGGTTAGAGGTGTGGCATTTCTGATTTCTGTTTCTCGCACTTGTAATCGTTTTTATATTATTGGGTTATTGTTTTTGGATGTTTTAATTTTTAGTTTTTAGTTTTTAGTTTTTAGATTAACTATTTGCTTTGCTTCGATAGTTTACGTTTTATTGCGGTTCGGGTTCAGCGGCTGCAGTTAATCGGTTATTCAATTTTCAGTTTTCGATTCGGTTCGGTTTATTTGCCTTTGCTTGTGTTATCATAGATATTTGTTTGTTTGTTTTTTATTTTTGTTTTTGGTATACAATATAGATATTATTTCAACGCTTTGCTTATGTATTCTGTTACATTTAAATAATATCTGCAAAAAGAAATTAGTATGAACAAAAAAAAATAGAAATAGAAATAGAAATAGAATAGTAAAACGCAAACGCCAACGCCAATGCAAATGCAAACAAAACAAAGCGACAGATAGGTGAGTTTTGATTTTCTTTCTTATTTGTTTAACAAAAGCTTGTTGAAACTGAAAACCATTGAGGGAAATAGTGGGGGCGAGAAGGTGCTTGGTTAGCGTAACTACTAGCTACAATTTCAAATCACAAATTGCAATTCAATACATGCCCCACAAACTGCATACCAAAACTAAACTAAACTAAACAAAGCAAACATACATACATAAGCAGATAGCACATAGCACATAAACTAACGCCAGCCATATAATACAAGTAATACAAATGAAACTAGTCACTAACTAAGGTTCTATGAGTCGTTTTGGTTTGGTTTACACCACAGCCAGTTGTCGGAATTAGTCACTAACTAGGGGGGGTTCCTATGTTTCGTTTGCAATGCAAGCCTTATTGGAGGTAAGTTTCTGTTAACCCCCCTTGACTTTATAAACTTAACTATTTCAATTCTTAGTTTTAAGTTTTTTTGTAAGCTATAGCATTAAGCTTAAAACTGGCCTACAAGTCTGAAATTTGGCACACCTTTAACTTGTGGCAAAGCATTTGGTTATAAAGCTGTGATAGTACCATTTTTAGGGGGAGGGAAGGATAAAATGGAAACCATAGATCGTCTTATAGAAAGAAAGGGAAAACATCGACCTTAGCTAGCATAGGAACCAGTGTTTCTTAGGGGAGATCAGCTGAATCCTTCTTAAGATATACAAGTTAAGAATCTCAATCCTCGAAATAATCTTCCTTTGTGAATTCACAAATTCCATTTGATCGTTATCCAGAGCTTCGTATAAACGGCGTCAGTGCATCATCATCCATCAGGAAGCATCATCTATTAATCGATTAAATCGTAGTGTGTTTCGAATGTGTCCGGTTGCCCCAGTGTGTGTTTTGTTGTGTGTTTGTTTCGTGTGTTTGGGTTTTTAGTGTTCCTGGTGGCATGTTTTTCCGCATTGAGTTATTTGGAGTGAGTCGGATATGCACAGGGTTACACTTTACAGTTTTTAGCGGCCATCAAACCAATATAGTATTTTGTTTTTTATATATGGGAGCGGATCGGGGTCACCAAGAGGTATCCAAAAAATAGGGATTGATGGGTGTTCTTTATAGCCTAGTTTGTAGTAAAAAAAAACATATAGTAAAGCTTGGGCAATGCCTACGTTTCGCTGGCGGTTTCAGATCGCTATCGGACGTTAGAGTTGGAGTTCTGGATATTCTGGATATCTGGAGTTTAGTGGAGACTAGTGGTGGTTTTAATATATATTTTTTTTGATTTTTGTTTCAGGTGGCCATCAGACATAGTAGAGCGTGGTGCCTGGAATGCGTGCCTGGAGCAGGGCCGAGCTGGCATTGGACAAAGCCAGCGACGACGGCAGACTTGGCCGACGACGTCGCTGCTGGAGTTCTAGAGGTGGACTCTCGCCACTGCCCCGACTCCGGTGGCTATCGTTTCGTTCATATTTACTCTGCTGATGCGATGGTAGCTGCTGCTGATAATGCTGAGAAGATGAGTGCTCCTTCGCCTGGCGTTGTTGATTGCCCAATGTAAATGAGGCTGCCTTGCGTGGTTTGCTGCCACCTGGTTGGGATTTGGGTGCATCATCATGCTGTAGGAAACAGGCATATTGCGGCTTCAACAGCACCGATGGCCTAGCCCTACGCAACGGTTGTGGCTTCGCCGGGAGCTGGGGGCGCTTGGCGATTGTGGGTGGTTGTGGTGGTGACTCGATTTTGGCAACGATTTCCAATTCTATTGGTGGTTCTGCTACTGCTACTGCAGGTTCTGGCTGTTGCTGTTCCTGCTGCTGTTGTTGTTGTTGTTGCTGCTGATGCTGCTGCTGTTGTTGTGGCGACTGTGGCAAGATAATACCCCTCCCTAAACTTGGGTAATCTGCAAATATGCATTAGGCGAAATTGAAAGCCTTTCAGCCAGAAAAGATCTGCTATTTGGATCTCGGTTTTTGGGTTTTTTTTTTTTTTAGTTTCGTTGAGAGCTGTGTGACATAGCGTATATAGAAGAGCATTGGGGGATCAGGGAACAGGGCAATATTTGAAAGGGCTGCTAGCTGCAAGGCTGCACCCACCTGATGCGCCTGGTCAGCCGGCGAAACTGAGCGCCAAGAACCGAACGGAACTTTGGCCAAGGCCAACAGCCATTGCCTGCCGTCGTGGTCCTGACGCTACATTTGGGAACTGAGACGGTAACAGAAGTTGAGGCGGAGGCGAAGGCGGAGACGGAGAAACCATTAAAACCATTTAAGCACTTCTTTTGATAGAAATTTCTTGCCAAAATGTATAATTTCTTCAGCTGTCCCTACAAATAACCTTTTCTACTACAAATATTACTACCTAACCATTGCTAAACAGGTGTCTGATCTGTGTGGGTGTTAATTTTGTATAATATTTGCAATCCCCTCAAGGCAAACGAAAGTGTTGAACTCAACAAAAAAAAAAAAAAAAAAACAAAAAAAAACGAGAAAAAAAAATAGAAAGAGATCGCGACGATGAGTGATGGATGAGTGGGTATTAATGATGGTAAACAAAACTCAAGAACACATCTGGTAAATCAAGATTAAGGACAAGGCAAGTGACAGAGACAGAGACAGATATATAATATATATATATATATAGATAGAGATAGATAGTATGTATGCAGGCGATCAGGCAGACAGAGACAGGCGACATAGTGTAAGACAGAGAGACAGAGATACAAAGACAGAGTGAGCTCAGAGAGTGTGTGGTAAGACAAAGACAAAAAGCCATTCCATCATATTCGCGCTGCTGCATGCCACATACAACATCAATACAAAATAATATACGCTTGAATGGTTCTTTTTTTTTTTTTTTGAATGGATATTAACTTACCCAACGGTAAATTCCCCAGCATCGTTCCTCCCCCCGTCGCACCCGCCCTATGTCCAATTCCAATCCCATGTCCATGTCCCGCCGTCGATGTGGGCAGCTCAATGATCTCGTCAACGGTCACATGATGATGCTGCTCCTGCAGACCCAGCTGACGCATTTGCTCCAGTTCCAGCTGTTGTTGTTGCTGCAACAGATGCTCTGCCAGCATCATCTGATGATGTTTGCTAACATGACCAAAGGGATCGGCGTATGGTGTATCGTCGATGATCATTGATGCCTCGGAGGGGTATTCAAATGTCGACGTCAGCGTGTCGTTGAACTGCACGCGGAACTGTGGGAAAAAATTGAAAAGAAATCTGATCAGTGATTGCTTCTGGAATTATTTACACTAAGATGGGTTTTTTGGGGGGGAAGGGTTAAGTTCATATGCCAAATAACATGTTACTATATCAAATTCTTCATAAAATATATATAAAATTTGTAACTTTTTACCAACATTTAGAAATAAACCCACTTAATAACTTCCCTCTTAACAAAAACTTTTGATACTTAAGCAAAAGTAACTGACATTGCTGATAAAAAAAAACAACTAATACGTTTACTTACTAACTGGCGCCATTGAAGTTAATGATAACTACTTTGGATATCACTTTTGACTGGGAATACAAAACCTTTTCAAGTCAAGGAAACTGAACTAATCAAAAACCAACTCAAGATCTACTACAACACACGTTACTCTATGTCCAATCCTTTTTTGTTTTGTTTTGTTTTAATTTAACGATCGGTTTATAATTTACATAACCAGGTGCTTTGATTTACATTTAGCGGTGCCCACAAATCAACAAATATATGGCAAACAAAAAAAACTAAATAGTTTCACCGCTTGCCATAATAAATTCAAGGTTAGACGAAAGTGTTAGTTGCTTTTGTTATAAATATATATTTTGAAAATATTTAAGCCATTCATGAATGAAAGATAATGTCGCGAGTGTTGTAAATGCATAATGCAATAGGCTTTTGTGTTCATTTTTTTAACCACTTTTCCAGCTGGTAATAAAGAGTTTTTAACCATGACATTGAAGTAATTGCAAATAAATTGCTCGGAAAGCAAACTCCCTGGTTACTTACTCATCGATGCCTTATCGATGGCATATCAATGAGTCAACCCTCGGAAATCGGGCTCCTTATCGGAGAACAAACCCCAACAGACCGACGCAATTCGACGATTGAGAATTGATTTGGAAATTCAGGTTGCGGCTGCTGTTCAGTTTTAAAGACAATAGTAGTATTTTCCCATATCAGTCACACTGATGGAACGCACCCGTATAAAAGGAATAAATAAATATAAACAAAAGACAAAAAAGAAAAGAGGTTGCAAGCTAATTACAAACTAAGGCGACGCCTAATGCTGGTTGATTAATAGTCCCTGGACAGGCGACACAGTCGATAAATGTTATATAAGGCAGAAGCATAAATACCGCTTTACATTCCCCTCTCCTTATCATCATGGTTAACCATTGAGTGGTCAAACAGTCGAATACATTTCCCACCTACCCCCCTCCTCCTCCTCCTTGCCAAAACCGGGGGCAACCAGCCAATAATAATCTTATCTTATCCTTTTCACTATAACCAACTGGTATTGGAAAAAAGAACCTATGCTATCATTTTGGTTGACAAAATAACAAAACGCTATGCACCTGACTCACTACTAGTCGATGGTTATACTAAACACTATTTAAGGAACGTGTTCGGTAGGGGGGGATCATCCCATATCCTATCCCCCTTCATACATACCGATGACTCTTTGGGTTTCTGGCGTATGCTGGACTTGCCGTCGATCACAATATTGGCATTCTCGAACTCCACATCGCACGGCGATGGCGGGCACATGGAGTAGTCGTCATAGTCCGTGTCCGTTGATGTCTCCACGGAGAGATCACCCAGCAACACGAAGCCAGGCTCATTTGGCTAAAAGGTTAGAAATAATAAACTATTAGTAGATGTTTTTGGGTTTATTTTTGGTATCAAGTGGGTGGTTGATAAGGCTTTACCTTTTACAAACGTTCTTAAATCAAAAGGTATTAATATAAATTGTTTATAAAGATTGACATAGCACATAAAGAATAAATATTGATTTTAAATTATAACTCCCCCTAATAAAAATATTTATTATCTACTTTTGGTAATATCTTTTTTTCTTATGTTTGTTTTGAAATAAAAATTTCAGGTAAATAAACACAAGCTACTTAAGGTAACAAAAAAAAAATGTGTTAATTTGTGGAATGTTTTTTAAGATGTGTTTTCCTTCTGGTTCAGATATTATCATTTAATGGTAAACACGCCTTTTTATTTAAAGTTTAACTACCTACCGAAGAACTTTGGGAAGAACGACCGTCAACCCCCTTTTGTCCCTGGTTGATGCATAACCCGTTTTCTTTCTTTCTTTCTTTGGATTTAAATGGTTCGTCTCCCGGATAATTTAAGATGAAGGATTGACCAATACGATTACCTTACCCCGACCCTGACACCATCCAAAAAAATCTGTCCAGTTTTTCAGGTCACATGTGTGTTGTTCGAAAAGTGAAATTCATGGAAACTCATTCTTAATCAGCGTTATGTTATGGGTCATCTGTGACTCACGGCAGGGGTTCCGTGGTTTCGTGGTTCAGTGGGGTACCAAGTCCAAGTCCAGGTTCAGGTCCCGGTTCCAATTTCAGTACCGTTCCCATCCCTTTTTTGGCCCATTTTTTTTTGTGGCACAACACAAATCGACCCCCAGCCATATACCATATGCTATATGCCATATATATACTACCTATACCACAGATAATAAAGTTCAAAACGAGATAAAAAAGACAAGGCAAAAGCAAAAGCAAAAGCAAACACAGTAAGTAGAAGTGAGCCTCAAAAAAGAATTGACAAAATTGAGTTCAGTGGTAGGAAGAAGAAGAAGAAGAGGGTAAACTGAGAGAGAGAGAGAGAGAGAAAACGAGATATTTAGTAGCCGAGAGAATGGAACGGCACAAAGCACAAACAAAACGGGTTTACCAACGAGAAGAAGGCGGCAAGAGGAAAACTCAGCCAAACCGAAAGCTACAGTCTAAAGCTAAGGGAGAGAAGGTATGTGTATAGAGTATGAAAAATAGTGTCAGTGCTGTCGGCTTTTCCAACTATCTGATCTTTTTAAAGATTAGAATAATAGTTTAAAGATATTTTCTATAAAGAGAATATTATAAATAAATCACTTTTTGGAAATTTTAATGGCTATATATCCTTTAAAAAGAATATATCTGATCGTAAAATGGTCTTTACGGTGATCATTATCATAAGAAATAATATAAATTATGATATCAACTACCTTTTCTGATCCAAAAATAAGATTCCCAGCATTTTTAAGTACTATGATAGACTAAAGAATGATTTTGGTTAATGTTTTCCATATTAACAAAGCCAAAACTATCAAAAGGCAAATTTCCCTCACCCAATAGAGGGAATTTAATAATGGCTGACGGAGGACATACAAAAAAAAAAAAAAAAAACAGCTGTGAGGAGCAGCCCAAGACTCATATCCCCATCTCAATACCAATCCCATCAAAACCGGCATCCCGAGGAGCGGCTGCTCCCCAAGAATTAAGTTCCCCACAGACAACACATAATATCTCATCATCATCATGTGCACCAGTGTACACATATCTTTACGGACTCGGACTTTTGCTGGCATGGCAGCAGGAAGCGCAGAAATATCTTCTCATGTCCACCACATGCATGCTTCAAAACTGGTTTCCCATTCTTCCGATCTCTGAAAACTGCAGCCAAAGAAAAAGAATCGAAAAAGAAGAAGCGACCGAAGGCAGAAGACACAAGACTATACCAGAAGAAGATGAGACTTGCATCTGGCTGGGAACAAAGCAAAGACTTTGGGAAAGAATATGCAGATATGTGTATATATATATATATATCTAGAGAATTATATGTATATGCATATATATAGGAGGGGCATCTGCTCATGTCCCACACGATTCGGGGCTATCGATCGGAGAGCTATTCAAGGCGAATTTTAATTGACTCGGAGCAGAAGATCACATCGAACTATACCCAGCTGTGATGCAAGCTTCTTCGATCTCTATTAGGGGCTTGCGCCGTTTGCCTAAAGCAGAAGCTAAAAGCAATAGTAGTAGAATGATTGTATATCCCTAATTGTACAACGATCTGAGTAATGCTAATTAAGCGACTGTGCAGTATAATCTTTGTGAGATACTTATTGATCAACACCAATGATCATTCTGCCGACAGGTAATAAATGGGTGCTTTGAACCACACACACACTTATCGGGAATCATAGAACGCCACCTATGGCTCAACTAATTCCAATTCAAATTACACAAATTAGTGTTTTTAAGTTTTGAATGATGAGTTATTCTTGACATAAAAGATTCAAGCTATTAAAGTTATTAGTGATAAAATGGGACATATTCTGAGCTATCTTTCAGTATTACTCACTAACTAATATTGACAGTTTGGTTTTGTCTATTTTTAGCTGTCCTAAATTTTATTTTTTTTATATTTCAAATAGTTCTCTAACCCAGATTAGTCTTTAAATAGCAATAGATCACTCATTCACTCAAACAAAACAATCTTAAATCACTTTAAGTAGAGCTAAATTCTAATAGGTATATATATATATCCAACCTATAAGTAGTTCTCAGAGCAAACATCTGGGAGATGCCTTATCATAAGTGAGCAATAAGTCGTCAGTCATCATGCAAAATTAGCCATATTTAACGACATATTCAGACTTGTGACTAATTTCCAGAAAAAAAAAAGTGGAAGTCAAGATATAAGTTTCCTTGACAAAACGAAAGACAGAAAGAAAGAAGAAAGAGTATCCAAGTTGCGCTTTGTCACTTCTACACCCGATTCTCTCCACCGATCTCCCCAGTTCCACTCAGTTCCTCAGTTCCGTTCTCGCCCTGCTCGCCTTGTTGAACTTTCGAAATGCGCATGATCGCTGTTCTCTGTGTGCTTTGTTTCATATTTGTTTATACGGCATGGCTGCCGCCGTATGACACAAAAAACAAAAAAAATAATAATAATAATAATAAAAAATGAAAGAAAAAAGTACGCCAGAAAGAAACGGAAAATAAACCATAACAACAAAGTTATTGGGGACGGACGAAAGAAACCAAATTGCTATCGGGGAAAATAATAATTTATGGGGTAATTGTTAATCATGAATAATCCACAAGGCTGCCTTCCCGATAAGACGCCTGAATGTGACTCTTCCGGGAAAGATTTCAAGACAGAAAAAAAAAGACAAAAAAGAGACAAGGGTTGTGGAATACTGGAGATCCCAATGCCCAGTACTTGATGCCCTTCTTAGTTTCTAGCACTCACCTTTGGCAGCTCCCGCTTGCGCCTGTAAATCACAACGTCGCTTTCGATGTAGTCGGGCACTTCCTTGGTGCTCTTGGAAAAGTTGAACACCATCGAGGTGTTCTCTGTGGAATGATGGCTGGAACTGGGCCCCGATCCACCGGCGCCGCTTGCTCCTCCTCCGGCCGCTTGATTCTGACTCCTAAGCTTGCGCAGTGTCCACAGTGGTGAGGCAGTTGCCTCCGTTTCGCTGCTGGCCGTTTCCTTGGTGTTTATCACGGTGTCGAGACTAGTGGTGGGCGAGTTACCCGATCCCGTTCCGGATCCGGTACCCACACCACCGGCTTCTGTGGCCGTCGACTTCTTCATCTCATTGATGCGATTCTTTTCAATCTCGCGACTCGTTAGCGGCGTACTACCAGCTCCTTGGCTATTGAATAGCGGACGGATTACACCAATCTGTTTGGTCACCGCTGGTCCGCTGGAATCGTTGTTATTGTTGAGCTTCCGTACAGTGGTATTGGTACTGGTACTTGTACTGCTAGTACTCCCGCTGGCTACATGCGCGTTCTCCGTCGAGGCAGCGAATGATCGTTGGGCGCCTCCCGCTGCCGATTCCGTTGGGGGCTTAGGCTTATCGCCGCCTGCCGCCGCTGACGCCGCGCCCATTTTATCGCGTTGCTCATTGTTGTCGCTGCTGTCGCCACCGCCGCAGCCGTCGTCGTGATCGTCGTTATTGTTGTGAGTGTTGTTGTCGTCATCGCCTTCGCCATCGCCTTCATCGCGATCGTTTCGCTCAGTCTCGCTTGGCGCCTCGCTCTGCGGTGTAGCCTCCGTTTCCCGGTTGTCCCTTTCTGGCGTCTCTGGATCCTGCAGTTCCATGCGACGCATCATCACACTCAACGCCGATACTGGCGAATCGACCTGACGGGGTATTATATCCGGATGAACTTGATGTGGGTTCCTTAGTGGCGTGGAGGAGGCAAAACCCAGACCAGGCGATGGCGTCGCCGATGTTGGTTGTTTCTGATCCTTAATAATCGATTTGTAGCTTGCCACCTTGCTGGCTACTCCACCAACGCCATTGGAACGATGGGCGGCGCGGGGACGACGATTGGCACTTGCCTCGAACATTTTGAGGGTTTGCTTAACGAGATCCGGTGGCGGCCGTTCGGTGTCATCGATAATAGAAGTCAGTCGCTTGGGTGGCGCCGTCTCTGTGCCACTGTGTAGACGCTCGCGGGCGTTATGGATCTTATCCTCAATGGTGACGCAGGTTGGTGAGGTGACAGGTGAGGGGGTGGCAGCAGCAACGGTGGCCTTGGGAGCAGGTGGTGATGGTGTTCCTACTGCTGCACCGGCAGTGCTAATTCTCTGACTATTCCACGGCGATTTCTCACAAAGCAGCGCCTCCACAGAACGGGCGCGCTTCATCACTTCGTTGCCGCGTTTAAAATGTCGCGATCGATTGCCCGAACCTGCACCAGATCCAGCTCCTCCATTGGCCAAAACACCGGATTGCTTTTCATCCGTGGTCGAGGGCGGGTTAACAGCTGATCCAGCTCCATTGGCACCAAGGCTAACGGGTCTTTGCTGCTGGCTGCTGGGTTTGGTTGTCGGTTTGGCACCCAATATCGGTGGTGGTGTGGATTTGGCACGCACTTGGCTGCTGGCCACATCGGGCTCCTCCACTTCCACTTCGTCATCATCGCGATCAAGCAAAGTATTTAAGCTGGTGGAGCGCTGCAATCGTTGTTTGCTGCTCTGCTGACGGGATTCTCGCAGGGCCAAACTTAAATAGCGGCAACGCAATTTGGATACAATACCGGGTCCATAGCTCAGATCCTCACCGGTGTCCAAGGCATCTGGAATGGGATTTGGTGGATGTGGATCGACATCGCCTGTGGCACTGCTGCCAATTTTGCCCGCTAGATGTCGGTGCTGGCCATTTTGTTTGGTTGTCTTCTTCATCTCTTGCATGGCGACCATTGTCGGTTTTACCGTTACCTTTGTGGGTGACAGTTGTTGTTGCTGCTGCTGTTGCTGTTGAATTATAAACTTGTTGCTCTGCAATTTATCGGAAATACTCTTGGTTTTACAGCAGCTCTTGTTATCGATGTTGGTAATGGTATTAATGGTCTCTTTCGCTGAAGGCTTGCCCTCAGCAACGCTCTGTCCCGGTTTGCATTTCGTTTTCAAATGATTTTGGTTTGGGTTTTGATTTGCTGACGACGACGACGGCGACGATGTTATAGCTGCTGCTCCAATTGTGCCAGTTTCAACTTCACCACACCGGCTGCTACTCACCATTACCACGGCAGCCGGCTGTTCGCTGCTGCAGCTCTCTGTCTCTCTATCGCGGTCTGCGCTCTCATTTAGAATCTCTGTCTCTTTCTCCTGACTTCTTGTGTTGAGTAAACTCGATCGCTGCTTTGGTATTGGTGTTACTGTTACAGTTGTTGCTGTTGTTGTTGTTGCCGCTTCGGGCGAAAGGGAGACGGCAACAACGGATTGATGACCTCCAGTGGAATTAGAATTGGTATTGGAAATAGAAGATTTCTCAGACTTTTCCTCTGAAGCGATCATATTTCTCTTTTGACTAGTGCTACTGATTGTCGCCGGTTCCATGGAATCTGGTGACGAAAAAAAATAGCATTTATATATTACAAAGACAAAAACTTGTTTTTTGTTTTTAATTCCCGCGATCTGACAACTCTGCTCGCTATCGATAACCGTGTATCGATGGTCGGCCAATTTGAAAGTTTCGCGGTAACTGAAAACGTAACTGTTGGCAAAACGGATTGAAAACACTTGTTAACATTACTCATGGCTTGTTAAATGCCAGCTGAGCGATTGCAGATTGCATAAGTCTTTTCCAGTTAATTTATTTTATATATATGATTGAATGATAATTGTTTAATTTATGATATACTGAGATTAGTTACTTCTAACTAGGAATACAACAACTTCTATAGAAATAAAAAGTATATTTTTAATTTACGTTTAAAATACTCCGGAATGTTAATACAGTTCACTAACTTTGTGGAAATATATAAATACTTCACTACAGTCATCTACATAATATGAATTATTAAGCCCACTCACAGAAAAGGCATTTAAGATTCACGAGAAATTTTAAAGACTGATAAGGATGGTTGTTTCAAAACAGTTTTAAACGAAAGTTTTATGCGAAAGTTTACAAATTGTTAAAAATAACGATTCTTCATTGTTAAAAAGAAATAATTTTTGAAACATGGATTATATATTATCCGTATGTTGAAATGCTGACAACTTAATTACTTTCCAAGAAATACTGGTCTTTTAAATACCTCTAATTTGCATGTTAAGTGAAAGTATTCCAGTTTATCTAACCACCACTCACCTGCAATTGCACCTGGAGCGGCGGTGACTTCCGACGAAGACGAAGCCAAAGCCCCACAACTGCCATCGGTGGGTGAGGCGATAGATGCCGCCTGGGTGCGTGCCACGTTGGTTTTCCGACGCTGGATGAGGTCCTTCTTCCACTGCGGCATGTCCGGCAGGAAACCGGAAGTGGGCGACATCTCAGCTGCTGCTCCTCCAGACCCAGATCCTGCAGGTCCAACTCCTCCAGATGCCGATCCTGCTGGGACATCCGTGTGTAAATGCAACGACGGCCGCTTCTGTGACTCCATTATCCCCGTCTGCAAGAGGCATTATATGGGGCATTAATAAATGAATTTCAGCCCCATCCGTTGTGTCCGTATCACTATATAGTATAGTATTTCCTATATTATCCAGCTCTACATCTCGACCCAAAGACCAAGTCTGGCGGACTGACTGGCTCGAAGCTGGTGCCAATTGCAAGTGGCCCGCTGGCCAAGCTCCTCTACAAAGCAAAGAGGCGGGCATTGCCGACCCAAAAGATTGGCCAACCATGGAAATCATAGCCAATTGAGGAAACGATCTCAAAATTCCATATTTTTAATGGCCAGCTTTCCCAGAAGAATCAATTTAAAGGGATTTATGGTTTAAGGGATAGATTATATAAGCTTTTTAAAGATTAAGATATACTTTAGTAGATATAAAATCATCTTTACTTGATAAGTTTAAGATTTGATTGCTATTTAATCATTTAATCAGAAAATAAATTTCTTTTATAATACATTCCACTATCTTTATTTGAATTGGAATCAAGAAAAAACACTGGTTTCTAAATATATCATAAACAGTACCAAGTGGGTAAATATGTACTTAAAGCTAAAGATTACGATAAAGAAACTTGTAAGGGGGAATTTTATTTAAGCGATGTGAAAGTTTTTATTTGCCAATATATTATGGTTTTAAAGTAAACTAAGATTGGTTTGGGATTCATAGTAAAGTTTTGATAAAAAAAAGCTCATTTTTATTCTGATTGTGTTCAGCCATTTAAAATAAAAAATGTAATTTCTTAAATGGGACTTTTCAAAAAACTGAACTTTGTGTCTAAATAAATTTAAGATTTAAGAGTATAATATAAACAAACTGAGTTTGACAAATAAGTAAATTAAAAAATATTTTTTCTGCCTCAGATAAATAAGTTTTGAGTGTAATGTTTACTGTTGTTAGGAGATCGAAAATTCGTTGTGACGATGGAATTTAAAGTTTTATTTTTCTTAATTGGATTAACTGCTGTTTTTACAGCCCGACAGCAAAACAAAACGTAAAACAAAAAGGTAAGAAGCAAAGAAACCCCAATATTTTTCCAGCATAAATATGCTAAACTGCCATAATGAGCGGAAAATGCGATAAAACCGAATATATATTATGGCAAAGGGGCAGGGGCAGATAGAAGGGGTACAAGAAAATAAAAAGAAAAGCGGGGGAAACTTAAAACCAAACGATTCTTCTTATTGTTTCGCTGAAATTGATTGCATGGCTAGATTATCGTTATTATTGTTGGAATTGAAATTGTTTCTTTTTCTGTTTCTGCAGCTATGACTTTTGTGTACCGCGCGATAAAAATTATTATTTTTAATTTCCCATATCACTTGTGTATATGTGTTTGTGTATGCATTAACACCACTCCGACTGTGAGAGTATGAATGCGGTGTGTGTGTGTGTGTGCAGGGGTGGGTGAAAAGGGGAGAGCGATAAAAAGGGGCTGCAAAATGCAGACGAAGCATAAAATAAACAACCGACGACGCGCTATCGATTTTTACGGCAAGCTGGAACAAGAACTCTGATACACACAGAATGCAACAACAAAAAAATAAGGAAGAGAATCGAGAAGATATGCTATGGCAAATTAAAAATTGCCAATAAACTCCAGAAGGAATATCGAAAACAACGAATTATGGCAGATAAAAAGAGCCGGGTTTTGTTTATTTACACAGGAACAGCACCAACACAAAACACACACATACATATATATACACCAAACATATACACATAGGCAAAACACACTGTTCCGTTAGTTTGTTGGCGTTTTTGTTTTTCTCGCGGTTTCGGGTAATCTTTAGTTTTCGAATGCTTACATTTGAAATGCTGCCGTATAAATCGGTGGTTGGGTTTCGTTTTTAATTTTCCAATTTCTGTTTATCCGCCGTTTTTCCCCCCGCAACAGTACAACTTTTCCGTTTCTTTTTATCTCGACGCGCTGGCCAAATTCGTCACTCTTCTCACTCCGCGCACTTTCCAAACTTTCCCGACTGCAACTGCACTCGAACTCGGGGGCGGTGGGTGCACTCGCTGCGCCTCAAAAGTGCATCTTTTGCAGCCGAATCAGCGGAAAAATCTGCATTAAGTTAAGCCGCGTTTCCAATACACAAATACTGCCTATCGATGGTACGCGTTATCGAGCGGCCCATCGATAAATGTCGTCAGCGTTGCCACTATAGAGTGTCTCTTTAGCAAAAATTATCTGGTTTTTGATAAGATAGAAGTAGTTAGTATTATCCGGTTGATGAATTATATATATTGTTGTTTTTATTCTAGACAAACTTTTTTTTATACTGAATTTAGAAAATATTTTAAGTCAAAACAAGGAATATATATTTTGTATATCCCATTGGCGTTGTGGACATCATAAACTAACTGTAAATACTATTTAAAAAACAACTTAGCCAATATTTATCATAAATATTATTGATTATATTATTAATTCAATGATTACATATCCGAAATATATTTTTCCGTTATCATTTTCATTAGTGTGGCAACATTAGGAATTGGCAATCCGATAGATTTTATTGTTGTTGTTTTTATTGCTTCGTATAAACAAAGTCTTCGTTTGTTTTTTGTTTCTTATAGAAAATTTATGCATACGCAAAGATAAAGAAATTTAATAAAAAATATATTATAAAATAGTTAAGTGCGTCTGGCGATACTTTAACTATATGTTTGTTACAAGCACCTAACACCTATCATGAGCATTAACTGGATAAAGATAACTGAAAGGTTAGTGTTATTAATTAACTATTATTAAATATATTGCTAGGAAATGGAGTTTTTTTTATTAGAGCCCGCGAGGGAATCAAAATCATCAATGCCCTGCCCTACGAAACCTTCAACACTGTTCTGTGGTACACCCACCGGCAGATGAGTCCCAGTGGAGCTTCCGGAGCGGCGACGAATGTTACTAGTACAGTGGGCACCAGTGTTATGACCACTGGTCAAGCGGACAGCAGTAGCGAAGAGAATCCCACGAGTAGCTCGGAACCGGAGTACACACTCGAGGAACTGGAGCGACTGGTGGGCGTTCCGCGTCAAGACTTCCTACTGCTGATCAAGACCTTCTCGTACATCCTGCGACGCATCTCCACATTCATTATTAAGCCAAGTTTACTGCAACGTGAGCTGCGCGAGAAACTCCAGCTGGAAGATGAGGCAAAGATCGATGCCATATTGCGATTGTGGGTGCGCGAGACGACGCCCATTATGAATAATTTGGCTAGCAAGCGGTATGAATCGAATGTCATCGAAGATGTGGCCTGGAAGCTCAACGTGGAGATCTCCTCACATTGTCAGCAGCGGGAGAAGACGCCACTGGCCGTGCTTCAAATGAAAACGGCTGTCGGCGAGGATATTAACATTGAAATGACGCATCCGGAACTCTTGGAGCTGTACAACCAGTTCGAAAACATTCAGGGTGAACTGGATGCCATGCTGGCCATGAAGGCTGCAGATGTACCAGCTCCTGGCAACCAATAGTGGGACACGTTAGACCGTTCTCAGTGCCAATTAAATTGTTAATCAACATACGCAATCCATGTGCAAAGTGGTGGACCTAAAAGTATCCAATACTAACACAATCGTAGCCAAATGTTAATGTTCTTTTTTTTTTTAATTGAAATTTAGAAAGATTTTCCGAAGTTATAGTAAATTTCCGAACGTAGCCAAATGTTTAAAAGATGTAGTTCTGCTTCGATCTGTAAATTATTTTTGTGTATGTATTTTGTCAATGCTTTTATGGAGTTCTTCAAGATCTCCCCAGAAAAGACTAGCAAAAAAAGATGTATGTAGTACCAATGGACACTAAAATAGAATAATAAAAGAAATATAATTAAACATAAAATCTTTATAAACCTTGTTTTAAAATAAAATATTGATACAACTTACCTTTAAAAAATAATAAAAACCGCCAATAAATCGATTTAAAACAATATGTGGCACATTTTACAGTACACTTTAATGGATCTCTGCATGCGTTTTACTCGTCAGCTCCACCTCGGATCATAATTCTACTGATAAACATTACAAATTATTACAATGATATATATTTAATATATGTCTATATTGTATATGCATATGTTATTCGTCGGCCTTAGTACGTGTATAATGGAGTCTCGTATAATATGTATGCATTATACAGACTTTCTAGTTTCATCATCATGATCATCATCATTTCTAACTTTTGCATATAATGTTTTTTGCATTTATTGTTATTGACGTGGGGTGTGTGGGGGGACAAGGGGACCTTTTTGGGATTAGTTTGTTTTCAAATTAGGGGCTTCGTTGTATTTTCACTAATCTAGAAGCAAAACGATTTCTATTGCACTCTTTCACAGTTCGGTTAATAATTTTAACTAAGTTTTCTTCTTTTCTTTTCTTTTTTGTTTTTTTTTTTTTGGAAAAAATACAAAATGTATGCAAATTATTTGGACTACAATTTTCATTTAAATTTATTGCTATTGTTTACAGTTAGTTGTTGTTGTGTGTAGGTTGTTGTTGTTTTTGTTTTGAGTTTTTTTTTTTACTTTGGCACCGGCTATTTATTTATAAGCCCCTTAACTTTGCTGTTAGTTAGTCTACAGTTTGCGTGGGATTCTGTTAATCATATTGGAGTTTGTGTAAATGATTATCGCCTTACGAAATGCGTTGGTCATTTGTTCCTGTTGTTTAATTTGTGCTGTCTGTTTAACAGTTGCATTTCCATGTTCATTTTCTTCTGGGAAATTACGTTATGTGATTTAAAATGGCTTTAGTAAATCCAAAAACATGATTCGAACTCGAATTTTATATAATTAAAATTTTGCAAGCCTGGAAAAAATCAATAAAATTGCTTTTAATTTTATAAATTGAGTCAGACTTGATACTTTGAGGTATCGCTGAGATAGCTTTTGGAGATTAATTAGCTTAAATAAAATCAAAAACAATAATGAAATCATTAAAAGTTATTTAAATATATACAAAAATCGAATTACCAATATTAACTTGCTTTTATCAGAAATTTTTCTTGATATACAGGTTTACCTTATATAATACGGAAAATATTTTTTTAATTTCCTTAAAAATCCCAAAAAAAAAAAATGAAAATGGAAACACAACAACTTTCTGTTTTTGTGTTTGTGTTTGTTTTTAAACATTAACATCGGTGTTTTACATTATTTTTTGTTAATCAGAATGAACTCCAGCGCCCGCTGTATTGGAACTTATAACTTTGAGCGCCAAAAAAAAAAAGGAAAAAATAAAAAAGGATTTTCTTTTAAATAAAAATTGATATAATTAAACAAAATTAATGTAGCACATACATACATACACATATACATACACAGTTTACGCTTTGTAAAGATAAAATAATAATAATAATAATAATAATAAAAAAAATTAAACACAAAACAGATACAAAAAAAATTTAAAATTGTACACTAAATCTCCGACACGACGGTTGCAGCAAAATGTTTTAACATTTTTTCTTGTTCTTCTTTTTTTTTTTTTTTTTTTAAAACTATGTAACTCAATTATTGCATTGTGTTTGTGTGTGTGTGAGTGTATGAGTGTGTGCGATTTATAGTTAGTTTAGTTTAGGACTAATATTAGGTATGTGTTTATCAATTATTTTTATATATATATATATATATAATAATAATATAAAAAAGTAAACATTTAGCGCGTTTTTTCTCATTTTTTAGTTTGCTACAAAAATTTGCTCGTCTCGCTCTCCTCATACTTCTTTCAACTAACATTAGGTGTACAAAAAAATTGGAAGATATATAGTTTATATCAAATTGTGGCTAGCGTAAAAATACAATCAGTATTCCAGTATTTCAGTATCGCTCTTCGATCCATCGTTATCTTAGATATATATGTATATATATTTATAAATTGATGCGTGTTTTGTTTTTTTTTTTTGTTTTTCGTTCTGTTTGGCGAGATTGCTGCATTCCCATTCGATATAGATCGGTGTAGAGTATACATCTATATATATATATATATCCAGTAGTATCCAGTGTAGTACACACACACACACACACGTATATATATATATATCCATAATATCAAGCGTTGATCCTCCTCTGCGCCCCTCCTCTCACTTTGTCCCTTAAGTAAATAATTATGTAGTTGCCACATGATGGTTGGGTTGGGTTCCATTCGGTGTTGAGTTGATTTGAGTTTTGAGTTGAGTTGGTTTTTTGGACTGTTTTGGGATGGGGGCTGGCTGGAGGTTTGGGTTTCTGGAATGGGCTTACATGCCCGACTCTGCAATGCCCTCGTCATCTGAAACATATATAAAATGTTATAGTTTCGAATTGAATTGCTTAAAAGCTAAGCACATGCAGGGTTAGAAAATAAAACAAAAATCAAAATATACAGGTAAACATGCAAGTAAACTCAAACATGCAAAATACAAAACATCTAAGAGAGATATGGCCCAGTGCATTTCAGTTAACAGTCTTTGGCTCTTTCTTTTCAAAAAAAAAGTTTGAAAACCCTGAAATGCATCCTGACCATATCTCGAGGGGGATTTGTGAAAGTGTCTACAAACCCATAAACGGATTGGCATAGATAATGCCGCCGCCAGCTTCGGAACCAACACCATTGCCCAATACACCACCACCGTTAACACTGATTCCACCGCCGGTTCCTCCTCCTCCTCCTCCTGTACCGCTGACCACCAATCCTCCAACTCCTCCGCCACTGGATAATCTGGAAGCCTTGCTTAGCTTTGTGGTGGCATAGTCACTATCGCCCACCAATGTGGCAATGTCATCGTCATCACCATTTCGTGTATTGCAACTACTGCCCAGCAGCTGATCATAACAGCTAACATCCGTACTGATCACATCCACTTCGATGTCATCGTCATCCTTCTCCAGGCTATTTCGATTGCTGCCACCCAGAGAGGAGTGCAGGGCATGTGAATCCTCATAGCTACCACCGCCACTATCATCGTTGGCATTATTTGACTTGGTGTCGATGTGAGTCTCGAACTCATCATTCATATACAGCTCCTCATCCTCGTCCTCTTCCTCCTCCTCTTCGAGATCCTCATCCATTTCATGAGCCACCAATTCACCATCTTCGCCCACCTCCACACCCAGTTCCACTTCCAACAGTGAACGACGCCGCGTAAAGACCTCATCATCTTGATGATTGGTTTGCTGATGGTTTTGTGGCAATATCATGACATCTTCTTCGGCGAAACTTAGCCGGACATTGGCACGACTGGCACGATTACTTCCCGTACCGGAACCGGAATTTGAATTGGAATTGGAACCTGCAGCACCATTCGATGATGATCCATTGGATCCATTGATGTACTCATGACTGAGACTGTTCTTGATATCACAGGACGACGAGCTGAATGTGATCAGCTGAGATTTGCGTCTATGCTGGAGCGTATTATAGCCATTAACGGCGGATATGGTGGTCATGGTGTGGCCTCCCTGGATGGGCTGCTGTTGCTGTTGCTGTTGCGATTCAAATTCAAGGACATCGATGTTGCCGCCTTTACTGTCCTTGCAGATCATCGAGCTGGGCTTGTTGTCAACCAGAACGATAACCACCGAATTGTTGTTATCACTCTGATTGACAACCGAATGTCATCTGTCCGGTGCATCCACATTGTTATTGCCACCTCCTCCTCCACCACCACCGAAAGAACTCATCGATGTGGTGGGCGGCATGTGAGTATGATGGCCAGTAAAGCTACTGGTTAGCGGCTGTTGATCATCATGGTGTATCGCCGCATTCTCATCATCAATGGCCTCTGCCTCTTCCTGTTGGAGGTCATGATGCGATAGATGACCCTCAATGGTGGCCACCACATCACCATTCTCGTCCAGCTGCACTTGTTGGCCTGCGTGTGTTTGCATTTCGATTTTGTTGTTGTTGTTGTTGTTTTTTTTTTGGGAGGTAAATGAAGGAAAATGATTTAGCTCATAGTTAGTCACCCATCACCAGTATGAAAATCGAAACATAAAGCTTAAGACTAGTAAAAAATGAACTTAAAAAAAAACCAGCTTGCTGCAAGTCCCACAATGTCCTAGGGCTCATTGTCTAATTATTTTTTTTTTCTTCTTTTTTTTTCTTTTCTTTTTCTTTTTTGTTAGTCAGTGTGCGAGCGAACGTTTTGTTGGCTGAAGGGAAAAGTGGGCGGCTAATTCTGACCCAAAGACCTACCTTCATAGCCCTCGTTGTCGTGCATCTCGCGGGCTGGTCCCACGATGTTCTCCTTGCCCTCAAGCACCGCCAACAGGCACTGGTGGATGCAGATGTACTGCTGCTCCGTCTGCACCATCCAAACGCGCTCTGAAAGGTGGGAAAATGTAAAAGGATTAATGAGGGAAAAATGAAAAACTGAGTGTAAACGATACAGCGGTAGGCTTCTATCTGTGAAAATCTATCTTCCAGATAGCATTTACATCTTGAAAAGGATAAACCCCCCTCCGCTGTATCGTTTACAATACCTCCTCTTCATGTAAAAACATTCACCCTTGCGCATGGCATAGACTATGCCAAATATATCCACATAGTCCGACGTGTTGATCTGCTGCAGGATGCGATCCAGGGTGATGAAGGTACCCGACCTTCCCACTCCGGCGCTGCAGTGAACCACAATGGGTCGCTGTTCGGCACCGATACGATCCCGGAAGGCGCGCACAAAACGCACCAGAGTCTGTGGCGGATTTGGGACTCCAAAGTCCGGCCAGGTGGTGAAATGGAAGTGCCGCAGGATACGCTGTTCGCTGCCCTAAAAGTTGAATATAGTTGGTAAGTAAGAAATTATCTCAAAAAAGAGAACTTACCCTGCACAGCATAAACTCGGTCATCACCCAGTCAGCATAATGGCTATCATTGAGAATCTGCACCTTGATGTCTCCATAGAAAACGGGCACAGTATCATTTGGCCAGTATTGGTCGCACTTTTCCCGTCCCTTCTCAAAGCACCGGGTCAACATGACAATAGCCCTCGAGTTGCTCTCCCAGCACATCCGCCAGAAATCATCGCGAGTCGAGTGCAACGGTCCCTGGGTCACAATGAACTCCCGCGGCGAGTTGTGTCCCGGCACATAATTGGCATTAATATAATCACTACCCTCATCATCGTCCACCGGCTGGAGCTTGAAACGCGAATGATCATAGGGCAGTATATTAGTAAACCTATTCTTAGGTCTATTGCATGGCAAATCCGCAAAAGTACAAGGCTGATCACGGCCCACATGCTTCAGTTCTTCAAACTCTTCGCTGAAACGGAAATCCGAATCAGCGGACATGAGACGATAGTGTTCCGCAAAGTTCTTAATCAAAATCGGACGATTCTGTTCGATCACACTATCCGGCAGTGACATATTATCATTGGCCCGCGAATCCTTTGTAGTCTTACGGCAATTATTACGTCGTCGCTTGTAGAACAATAGGGTAACCAGAAGCACCAGGATGATCGTTAGGGGCACCGTTATGGCCACAATCAGTGAGGTGTTGTCTTGATCTGTGAATGGGAAGTTAAAGGTTTTAATAACTAGTTTGAAACTAAAGAGATTTAAGTACTCTTATGGTATAAAATAACTTAAAAAGAAAGAAAAGAATTATGTAAAGAAGAAGCTTTGATCATTGGCTTACCCGGTGAGCTGAGCATTTCTATATATCCATCGGAAAAATAGAAAATGCAAGGCCAGACATGAATAGTGGATAGTAAAGAGTTTTACTTTTAGGTTATTTATCAAACTTAATATTAAGATAGCTTAAAAGTTTATAGAAGAAGTCATGTTTATGACAAACATAGACATAGCGATCCATAACTTTATCACAAAACTTTATAATCCCTACTTAGTAACCAACTTAACACTAAACTCCCCCACTTACCCGTCTGAATAGGAAAACTATAAGCTGTATCCGTAAACTTATCCGCTCCGGTGAACGCTCGCACTTTGACCCGGTAAGTGGTACCCGATTTCAGTGGTCCGTTGCAGTAGCCAATTTTATGATTGTCACAGTTCTCCGTGCCAATGGTAAAATCCTCCACAGATTGATTCTCAAAGGGATAGTAGGGATCGATGGCCTGGTAGGGTAACCAAACGCTATACGACTGTACATCCAACCAGCTGGGCATCTCCAGGCCAGAGGCATTCTTGGCGTCATCTTCGGCCACTATGATAGTGTACATGCGAACCTGACCATTCTGATCGGAGAAATAGTTCTTACGGAATCGAATCTGAATGGTCGATGAGCTGCGATAGACCTCGGTGGGCACTACTTGAGTGGCAGGACGTGGTGGCGCCAATATAGGCATAGTTTGTCGATACTCTCGCTCTGGTCCAAAGCCAATGGCTGTCTTGGCCTGAATCTTAAATACATATGTCTCTCCGGGTTTTAGATTCTTAATCACACCAAAAGCCTCCTCCGATTCAAAGTCCTGCATGCCGGCATCCGTAAGATTATTGATATTCGTATAGGCTATCGAGAATTGACGAATCACGCCGTTAGCCTCACTTGATGGCAGCGACCACTCGAAATTGATCTCACTGGGCTGGACATCAGTGGGATGGAAACGTTCTACGCGTCCTGGTACCGCTTCATTTGTCGTAAAGCTAGCTGATAGAGGGGAACTACTTCTAAGAACTGAAGATTCAGTTCCGGAACGTACAACCACTGTGAATGTATAGTTCCTATGGGGTCGCAGGTCACTAATGGTGATCTCATTCCTAATGGTCATGTTCTGGGCCAACAGGTTATCAGCCGTAAGGTAGGCTATATCGAAGTCATTATACTCGCCCTTCGGAAGATCCCATCGCAGTGAGATCTCCGTATCCGTAATATTGGTGGCATGCAATTGGGTTATGGGTTCCGGATACAAACGATCCTGTCGCTGTATTGGCAAACTGGCCACTCCACCGCTCACTGTCCACACGGTGATGTTGTACAATCGCCCGGGCACTAGACCCGTAAACGTCACCTTGCGATCCGTATCATTGGCCAGTTTTTCCTTATCACGGATCTCAGCATCACCCAATGAGAATCGATAGATATCAAACTTGGAAGAGGACTGCGGTGTTGGTGTATAGCTCAGGGTGATGGTGTCCCTTTCGTCTTCCTTCTCGCCATTGGCCACCACAACGTCGGACTGTATCAGCGGCATGGTGCGTGGATAAAGACTAGTAATGCCCGAAAGGATTCCATAGGATGTCGTCTGGATATCAAACTTATACTGGACGCCAGGCATCAGTTCCCCAATCAGGACACGCACGGTGGACAAATCGTCGGCTATTTTTATGGGAAGATTTGAAGAAGCAGAAGGGGAAGGGTTAAAGTAGAACAGAACAGGAGAAGCTTCAGAGGGTGGCAGGTGAAGTTGAGAAGTAAAAGGGAAGGTAACAGGTTTCCAAAAAAGAAGAGTTAAGGGAAAGGTATTATGAAAGTTGAAGTGAAAACAGATGGAAAATCCATCGAAATAAAGAGTTTTATCGGAAAAATTCTATAATTTAGGCTAAAGGAAAATCCTTTACGAAAAAAGTTAAAATCCAAAAGGAGAGAATAGAAAAAAAATCGAAGGTAAAAGTTTATCTAGAATCTATTTAAGGAACAGCAGAGAAATTCCAATAGAAAGAATCCGAAACTGTTTTACAGCAAAGATTCCCAAAAAAGAGTTTGAGAATTATAAGAAATTCAGCAAAATGAGCACAAAAGAAAGTTTTTAAAAAAGGATAAAAAAGAAGCACATCAGACAGAAGGATATAAGTGTAATTCCGGTTTATATTCAGGATTCGAGAAGGCTCCACCAATCGCTCGAACGCCAACTCACCCGACTTGTTCTCGGATACGTTCTTGGTCTGGACACGTCCGGGATTATCGCTGGGCCACCATTTCAATATATAAGACTCCACCCTGCCCTCCGGCTTGGGCCATTCCAAAGTGATATTACGTGAGTCCACTAACTGGATGATATTCGATACTGGATTCGGTGGCACTGTAGTGTTGACTTCCTGGGGTACAGGACTCTCGACACCAAAGCTAACCGTGTTCACCTGTATGGTGTACTTTTCACCCTTGGTCATATCGGTGATATCCGCCTCCGTGGAACGAACGCTGGGCAGGCGAACCCATTGCTGTTCACTGTCCGTTCGATAGCGTATCGAGTATTCCGTAAACTCACCACTTTCCGGCGGAGACCAATGAACCAAAACGGAATTGCTGCGCACCGTTTCGATGGTCATGTTACGTGGAGGATTGGGATCTAAAAACAGAGAGAGATTTTCCATTAGTTTTTCCTTTTTAAATATATAAAAAATTAACATTTTTAAACTTACAAACTGCTTGGAAATAGGCATGAGGTTCGCTTCTCAAATCATGACTAACTGCAAAGACTTTGAGTTCATATCCAGCTCCTGGCTGCAGGTTCTTGATCACCAGCCGGGATTCCTTAGTTTTCTGGGTACGCAAATCACTGGTTCCATTCCTCGAGTACAACACCTCGTACTGCTCCTGCTTGGAGTTGACATCACTCTTCCAGCTGATGTTCAGACCCATTCGGATGCTCTTTAAATCCTCAATAATAGGCGACGAGGGTCGGGTCACCACGAATATGCTAGTTTCGTTCGATTCCATCTTCTTGGACACCGCCTGTACGGATAGGGAGTAATTACGTCCTGGCAGAAGGCTCTCCAGAGTAAACCTAGTCCGATCTGTGGTTAGTGTGCTAGTGTCTCCATTGAAAGTTTCCAATTCGTGGTATCTAAAGGGAAGAAAGGAGATGGATTTAGTTATATGAAACAAAGCTTAACCCCCGGTTAGCCTAGTTAACTGGAGATTAAGAAATATACTCACACAATGCGATACTCATCCTGCGTGCTGGCCGGATCTGCTTCCCAAGTAATAACCATGGTGTTGGTCTTATCATCGTTGATGCTTCTCAGATTACGAACGGGCAGGGGTCGCAGGGTGACATCTCCAGTGGCTGGCCATGAAGTAACCTTACCAGATACCGTCTTCACGATCACATTGAACGTCTTTCCCGGTTCGGCAATATCACGAAAATCAAAGAAGGCCACCGGTTCATTGCTACGCGGCACAGTGGACTGACGGCGTGTGGTGGCCACCGAAACCTGATACTTGTCAAATTCGGAGACACCCTTGGGCGCCTCCCATAACACCCGGAACGAATTCGAGGTAATGAAGTCCCGGTCGAAGGTCACGTTCAATGGACGCAATGGCACTGTACGATATTGTGCCGTCGTTGGCAATGAGATCTCATCCTCGGACATCGTCTGCACGGATATATTGTAGGCCCTTCCGGGCACCAAACCCTTGAAAGCAGCCTGTGCCGGCCCAGGCGGTTCACCCTCTTTTTCCACATAAAGTACACTATCGTTGGCATCCGGCGGCTCGATGGATACCTTGTAGTGCGTATAAATGCCTGCCGGATATGGCGGCTGCCAGAGGACCAGCAGTGTCGTCTCATTACGGAACCAGACGATGAATTTCCCCGGAGTGTTGGGCTCTGTGGATTTGCGGACGATGTGATGAATATATTGCGGGCGGTCGAGGGGAGTGGTGTGTTGGGTCAGCAGCAGACAAAACAGAGAAGTGACTTTGCGTTAGTTTGCGGTCGCCATTGGAGTTTTTAGTTATAGTTTTTTTTTTAGGGCGGGGTTAGGGTTTGGGGTTACGGTGTTATGGGAGTCGTCTAATGCTGCAGGCAGAGTGTGTGTGTGCTAGTTTGTTATTGTTTAGGCACAGTGGTTGTTGGCTAAGTAAGTTCCAGTTACGAATATAAGTTAATAGTAAGGGTTTTAGGTTAATTTCTACTTTTAGAGTTAAAGTATTTCTGAAGATAATGTTTTTAATAGCATTTAAAATGTTAAATAACAGAAAAATCAGTAATAAATAACATAAAAATGTTACATTTTAAAGACAAAACTAAGGGGAAAACTCGTAGAGTAAAAGGGTAGATTAGATTCGTTCAAAAGTATGTAACAGGTAGAAGGAAGCGTTTCCAACTCTATAAAATATATACATTCTTGATCAGTAGCGAAGTTGATTAAGCCATGACCGTTTGTCCGTCTGTCCGTTTGTCCGTATGAACGCTGAGATCTCAGGAACTATACAAGATACAAAGTTGAGATTAAGCAGGCATTCTGCCATGCCTACTATAACGCCCACAAGCCACGAAAAAATTATTAACCATAATATTATAATATACATATGTCTTCGTTTGACATGAACAATTCTTCGCTATTTATGAAAAAATTTAGGTTACGTTTCTTCTTGTTTTAAGATCTTTCTAATTTTGAAGAATTAGCAAACTAACTAATGATCATTTTAGGTAAAATAAATTTATATATATTCCAAAAACTGAACAACAACCACACATTAACCCCTATGCCTGGTTTTACAATTATTTCAGATTAAAGTTTTTGTGCCACCAAGCGTTGCATCTACAAAGTGACCACTGTTATTTGTGATTTGGTTTGCTATGCTTTGCTGTGGCTGGACATGCACATTGTTTGGTTGAGGAAGCGGAGGTGGAGGCGAAGGAGGATGGTAAAACAGTGAGAAAAGTGGCAGGAAAGTGTGGTTATAAAAGGGGGGGTAGTAAAGGCAGGGTAAAATGGGGGATAAAAGAGGTCAAAGCCTCGCCTCCATATTTGGGTGGAGAAAGTGCACTGCGGTTGGCAATTGTCGGATCAAAAATGAATTTTTGGAATGCAATTTCGGACTGTTGCCAAAGCAAAGGAGGTGGTGGTTTGAGGTCAGTTAGATGCTTAGTACACTGAGAGAAAATTCTTAGTAACTATAAAAGTATAAATTATAGGGGATAAATTGGGAAGTAAAATGGATATTAGAAGGTTGCTAATGATAGGATATGTTAAAAATGAATAAATTTGTTAGCTAAAAAGTAACTAAAGATAAAGGGTGGGCCACAGAAGATTTGCGTTTTAAAATCGCTTTTTCGTAAACCGCAAACATTCTACTAAATATCTGACTCATTGAAAATTACATTGGAAATTTCAAAGTCAAAATTATCGATAGTTCAAAAAGCAAACGCTACATGGGCCAACCTGTATTAAAAGTAAAGGGTGGCCCACGGAACATTTGCGTTTTAAAATCGCTATAAAAATATCAATATTTTCCAATTTTCTTCGAGCGTAAGCTTAACCAATTTCGTAAACCTCAAACCTTCTACTAAATATCTGACAATGACATTCGAAATGTCAAAGTCAAAATTATGGAAAGTTCAAAAAGCAAATGCTACATGGGCCACTTTGTATTTAAGTTCAGTTTAAATGAAAATATTTAATAATTAGATTATATTTTTAGCTATTTACATCTATTTTTGTACATCTTAACTCTATTTAATAGTTAATTTACTAAGATTTTTAGTTACTAACTACGATTAGCAAGATTTAGTAGGCGGAGAATGCAATTTTTTCTAAACAAAGACAAAGCTTAAATATTACCTCTTAAGATCTTAATGTCCAGCAATTCTTTATGCCGCGTCCTTCGACCTTTTTTTTTTTGTTTTGTTAATTTTTAAATCGTGTTTTTAGTTACAATGAAAGCGGGAGACAAAAAAGTTAATCACGTTTAGTTTACCATCACCAAAGAAGTAGAACAAACATTTCAAAAGTGTAATTAAGATTATCGATGTTTTAAGGTCCCATCTAAACATCAACTCACTTGTGGTAAAATTGCGACTGGTATAGGCCACCGACTCCTTGCCATCGTAAATGGTATATGCCTGGACCTGGTAGGTGGCTCCCGGTGTTAGTTCCTTGACGCTGTGCTGGAATGTATTGTCATTGACCTGAAAGGTGCGATTGTAGCTGCTCGATGCTTCCGATAGGCCAAGGACTTTGATCTTAAATGCCGTATAGCTACCCTGGGTGGGTGGTGACCAAAGGATGATGGCATTCTTGCCGCTTCTCACTTGGACAGATAGATTCGAGGGCGGATCGGGAGCTGTAGAAAGAAGAAAAGTTCTTTAATTAGTAACTTTTTTTTTAAACAAATATTAGAGAAAAGAAAGGTAAAAAGCTTTCTTAATCCTAATGCCCTAATGTGCAATATGAGACAGCCTTTTGAAGCCCTGAAAATCCTTCTTCTTAACTACCCCTATTAAAATTAATTCGAAATTAAAGATTACAAGCTTATGATGACTTGGCCTTGTCCTCGAAATGGCTTCCACCATCTAATTGCCTTTTCCTGTTGTCTGGAAGTTGAAGTTTGGCAGAAGTTGGGAAAAACAAAAAAAAACATGCAATCGAAGAAACCGAATACGAGTTGCAAGTCCCACAAATTGCTAATTGCAGTTCGATATTTTCCCATTTTCCCATTTTCCCTACCCCGCCTCCTTTCGAAATGCTTGTAAGCTGCCTAATGAGCAAATCGCACTAAGTAACGAAATCAATCAGACAAACTAACAAGAACCGAGTAAAGCGGCTAACAGGGGGAGGCATTTCGAACATGGCTAAAAGTTGGTTAATTGAAGTGGGAGCTAGGAGAGGGATTACACTGGAGGAAAAATTGTGTTAGCTGGTGTGAAATTTAGTCTTTAAGGTTATGTAAATATTTTTAGAGCGAGTTTGAAAGTTTATTTTACAAAAATAAATGAAATTTCAACATAAGTTTGGCTTTCATTTTACTGAAATTCATTTCTTAGAAGGATTTATAAACTGGGCTTAAAGTTAGTTAATATTTTATCAGCTAAAAGCAGTTTAAACCAAAAATAAACATAAAATTTATCAAGGAAAGACGCTTCTTAAAAATCTTCAAATTTAATATGATAAATTTCTAACAAATTTTAACTTTTATATCAGAAACAAACAAGTAAAAGATTAGAAAAAGAATAGAATTTCTTTTCTCTTTTTGATAATTTCCCCAAACTACACAGAGGGTGAAAACTTAACCAACACCTGGAAAAGACCAGCCAAAAGACAGAATAAAAAAAAACCAGAAGGGGATGATAAAGCTAGTGGGAGTGAACAGAACAAGGTAAAAGCAGAGGGCGTTGATAGCCAGTCCTATGCCTATAAATTACCCAAGGGTCTCGTTTTCGGTAAAATGTAGAAAAGACCAGACGTCAGAGGGAGAAGGGAAAACCGGCAAAATGGTTAAAAGCAAAAGCCGTAACTTATCTTTAACATTTGTTATTTTTACCGCTAACAGAAATGTGAAAAATGCAGTTATTGTCAACGCATTTTCAAGACATTCCTCAAAGTAAAAAAAAAAACAGTTTTCCCACTTTTACAACTTTAATGCTGTTTTTTTTTTTTTTTTGCACAATAAAAACAAAGCTGAACAGCCAAAGAAAGTAAACGAAAATATTTCAAGTTATGGCCAACAATCGATACAGAAAACAACAATAAAAAACAGCAAACATAAAAAACAGAAACAAAGACAAAAACCAAACAGAAACCAGTCATAGGCAACCACTTTTACTTCAAAGCGGACAAAGTTTATGGGTGAAAGGGAGACAACAATAGCTATAAATTAGCAATCAGACAATTATACAGATATAGATATATGTTATAGTGCCCTGATCCTAAGACAACTGCCAGATAATTATAGTTTTCTGAGTTTGTGAGCTCTTTTTGTGGGGTTTTAAAGGAATTTCAAAAGAAAAATCTCAGTTTTTAGGGAACTTAGTTCTTAGCTTTACTAAGCTTTACCCTAACCTAACTAACTACTTAATTAATTACTTATCGTTTAGCGCTCACTCAGACAATTATACAGATATACATATATATGCTATACTGCCCTGATCCTAAGACAACTGCCAGATAATTACAATTTTCTGAGTTTAAGAGTTCATTTTATGCAGTTTTTTAAAGGAATTTTTAAAAGAAAACTCCAGTTTAAGGGAACTTAGCTCTTAGCTCTACTAAGCTTTTTCCTACCCTAACTAACTACTTAATCCAATACTTAGTTTAGTTTAGTACACACTCACCTGTTGTTATCGTCACCGTCCAGGTAAGCCAATCGTGATGCGTGAAGTTCGTGTAGTACAGCCAAAAGTTGTACTTAGTGCCGGGCAGGGCGCGTGAGAATTGGATCTCATCGCCAATTTCCCGGGAGGCAATCGTCGTATTTGGCTCTGGATAACCAAAGGGTGGACTATAGTCCAATCGATATGATGCCCCATCATCCAGTCCGGGATTATTGGGTATGCTTATGGCTAAGTCGGCACATTGAATGCTCTGTAAGTGGTAAAGTAATTAGATAGGAAATTAGAAAACGGTTTAATATAGAGATATAACTTCTGCTTCAGTGGGAAATCTAAATGTATTTTCCATGACATTTTATGGTTTAAAAATAATGCTGTAGAGTTTTTCCCTTATTAATAGACATGGATTAAAAACCATTTAACAAAGATTTCCTTTTTTAAAATTTACAAAATTAATAATTATATAACCCTAAAAGGTTACCCTATTATCCCTTTTGTTGACTTTCTGTTGCAATGTCTTTTCCATTTAAAGTTTATTCTCTGTCATTTTCAGTTAACACAAAAAGTGCAATGACATTGCAGCAACAATACCTGCAGCAGAAGGAAGCAACAAGGACAACAGGGAAACAAACAAAAAGTAACGCCGAGTGACAATTAAATGGTACATAATGATGATGATGAAGGATGATGATGATGAAGGAGGATGATGATGATAAAGGATGATGATGATGAGATGATGATGATGAGAATGTTCCTGATGATGAGGATATTGCAGATAGAGATAGAGCTACTGATGCAGTTGCAGTTACAGCTACAGATAGAGACAGCATGAGCTGCTGTTGACGCTAATGGTTGTCCTTCTTGCCCAGCCCATTTACACAGAGAGAAAAGTGTGCTAAATAGTTGATATTTCAGCTAAATTTAGCTAACTTAAAAACAATTTAAAATGTTTCTACTACTTAAAAAACCTAAAACTACTTTTTCCTTTTCCAAACGTAAAAAAAAAAATAAAATTTTAAAAATTTTCCTTTATTTTCTTTCACTGCACTTGCCGGCATTTCAGTCGCTGTCTGCTGGTGCCAGACGCCAAATATTAACACCGCAAACAATGAGCTCTGCCGGCGCCTCCCACACTCCTTCTTGTTTTCCTGTAAACTCTTCCCTACTCCTACTATCCCCCCTTGAAACTGCCGCGAAAATGAGGCAAACAAAAAAAACAAAAAGAGTAGTAAGAGGATGGATAATGGATTTGGCTAGCAAAAGGGACACAGATGCTGCCACATATCCCGACGGACAGCAGACAGCAGGCGGACAAACGGTGAAGGGGACTCTACGGCACATTAAAGGATTAAAATGACGGAAATGCAGTCGCCGTCGGTGGATATATAGGACTATATGTGACTTAAAACTAGATTTTAATATGCATTTTAAAGGATAAAAGTTTGGTCCAATAATGGTCCAATGGCTGTTTTGTCCAAAATAGAGCTAAGAAACTGCAACCAAATTTTGATTTTTTTAGATCATCTCCATTTAATCAGCACTAGCAGCAAAAAAGCAAAGCAATAATGATAAAAGCAAATATAGGAGCCTTTAGTTTCATTAGATATCTGCATAAAACAGTCACTGTTTTAGCTGTGCGTCTTGTCTGAGCAAAGTTAGAGCTAAGCAACTGCAACAAAGTCGGGCTCTCTGCTACCAAAAGGCGTATACTTGATTTTGGGCACGAAAATTTCAGTTTTTTAGCTATAACACAGCCAAAAACGCTCCAAATGAGGAATGTAATACCTCGTAGGGCTCGTAATTTGATTGCTATGATTCCCAATTGAATTGCATTCAAATCTGGGAAACTTCATTTTTGGCCCATTTTTGAAAATTTTGATGATGGTCCCCCTTATCAAAAAAGCGAAATTTGGGCCAAAATTGACTTTCCCAAAATCGAAAAACGGGTGATAGGGGTGGTTAGTATTGGTCGTTGGCAGCACAAAACAGTCGTTCTTTCGGCTGTGCGTCTTGTTTTGACTGAGATAGAGCTAAGAAACTGCAACTAAACCGGACTCTCTGCTGCCAATGGACGTATACTTGATTTTGCGTTAAGTATATCAGAAGTCAGAAGACAGAGCCAAGAAGCCGTAAATAATATTGTGAATGATCTGGATATAGTTCCTTAGTTTAAGTTTAAGATATATATTTAAGAAAGTCTTAAAAGAAAGAGCAAATTACTTGATTTTTAGTACATTTTGTGAATAAAAAACTTTTTATTGGAAATAAAACTCTTATTAAGCATTCAAAATTGGTAGTCAAATCAATAAAAAAAATCATAAAAAATCTAAATTAATATTAAACTATATTTTCCAAACATAAAACCTAAAACCTAAAACTCACAAAAGAAAACTAAAAAAAACTTAATTAAATAATAGAATCCTTAGACATAAAACCACTCAAAGACCAACTACTAAATGCTTATAAAATAAGCTCCTTCAACATTATCCTTCCTTCCCCAAAAAAAAACCCTATAGAAAAACCCCAACCCCAACCCATTCCATAACTCATATTTATTACAGTTATTACTATCTCAAAATTGACGTTTTTCGAGCCACACAATTTGAACGCTCAATTAGAGAAATGGAAATCAACGAAACCCCTGGTTATCCGCCTTTTCAACCGAAACTATCAATTTCTCCGGGGCGGTTGTACCAAACTTCTGTAATTTCATTTTGGCAGCAATTCAATTCCATCAAATTGCAGGGCTTCATGTTTTTTTTCTTTTTATCTTTATTTTCTAGGGTGGAGAGGCGTGACTGTTCAAATGTTTTCAAATAGCCAAACACAGAAGTTCATAAAAAAACAAGAGCAAGTTGACCATCAAACTGAAAGCGTTTTAATAGAAGAAAGGAAAAAAGTATAATTCAAACACACACATCCAAAATGGCGCCGGAAAGCGTATAAAAAATAAACCTCCTCAACTTGTTGGCTTGATGGATGCCTTTTTTTGTGGGCTAGCAAATAAAAGTCCTCGTTTATGGCAGGTTTATGCGGGCAAGGAGCCAGAACTGCATGATTTTCTGAGATGAAGTTTTGTGTTTTCACAAAAAAAAAGTTCGATTTTTATGTAGTTTAGGTTTCTTTTACTAAGAGCAACTATTAATATTGCAAATCTTAGAATATATTTGAACTTAAAACTGCAAAAATATCACAAAAAAACATAAAATATTAGAAGCTTATCAGCTTCAACTTATCACCTTATAAAATATTTCCAAGGTCTAACTTAAACTTGAATTCCAAGTTTTCACACCATTATAATCGCATAATCAAAGTTCTTAGCGCATTCTTTGTAAACATTCTCAGGGTAATCGCGTATTCCAAGGACGCATGAACCCAGTAGAACGTGCGAAAAATCAGCAGCGCATGCAAACTTAACTCCCTGGCAATTTCCAGCCCACTTTATATTTGACCATTTAGTAAAAAGCATTGTCAGCCTGTTTGATTTGACAGCTAGTTTTTACTCCTCCCTCCCCCCTACTCTTCTCAACAAATCTTTAAATAGAGCACTTAGCGTAGTCCACCTGTCCCCCCCCTGTTCATCACACCAATTCCAATGCATACGGAATGGAGTTTGCCAATTACTGTCGTCACTCACTCAATCAATCAGTCAAACAATCAATTATTTATTATTTATCCATTGCAGTCCGACAGCGGCTGGCTTGCCTGCTTGCCATATTTTCACAACACGTTTAAAGCCAGAAAAAAAAAGATGGCTAAAAGTAAAAAATACAAAAAAGTGAAAAATACAAAAAACTCAATTGCAATTTGCGTTGCGCTTTCGCTACGAAATCGAAATGAAATGTTGGCCAGCAGCAGAGCAGCTATGGCTCAAACTCCACCCCCCTCCCCCCTACCGAATTACCCCTTTTTTTGGTGGGCGCCTAACTGTAACTCTCTTGCATAATTGAATACTTTTCGTTGAGCTTCTTGTTTTCCTTTCTTCATTTCGCTTTTTTTTTTCAACTTGTGCGTCTGTTACTGGCGTTTTCTTTTCTGTGTTTTTTTTTTTGGCCATTACATGAGCACACTACTGCTACTGCTACCCATGGCCCATTAGTCATTAGCCAAGATAATGATGATGGTGTGAAACAGTGATGGTTGCTTTTTTTGTCTCAAGCCAAATAAAACTGTATAAGTTACTGGCAAGATGAAAGTTGATTTAAAGATCAAAGAAAAACTTTGCATAATTATGGTGTCAAAGAGTTTTTCTTGTCTTAAAGAAAAAGAAAATTTGTAAAGTTAGAGCTAACCTAAACCAAAAGTAAAGCTTAACTTTCTTACAAAGCTTATAAAAAGCATATCTGCTTAAACCAGTTGGGAATTTTAGTCTATTAGGTCACTTTCTAGCTTTTAACAGTTAAGAATTTCCTCTATATTTAGCGAGAAAAACTCTAGCTGAACATCACTAAAGTTAATGGTAACATTTTAATGATGATGATGGTAAATTTGTTGATGATTATTAACGCATAGAGTGTGTCAGTCTGGTCAGATTATGCAATTAAATATTCGCAGCGCATACTCCATTGAAGAAGTGAACATATATAGCTATATATATATACGATTCGTTGCGGTTTCGTTTCATTTGAAATGCTCAATTTACACTTCGCATTATTCGCACATGAGTTTTCGCTGGCTGTTTTTATTTGTTTTGCAATTGCTGGGGCACAAACCATTTGAGTTAATTTAACCACACCCAATCCACACTCCTCTCATTCCCATTACCATTCCCCATTCCATGCTTTGTGACTCACATTTCATGTTTTTTATATTTTTTATTTTTGGGTTTTAACCAAAGTTAAAGCCAAAGCAAAAGCCAGGTTTTGTGCAGAAATCTTTAACAATAATAATAATAATATAAAATTAATGGCAATTAACAATGAGCAGCAAGCCTTCGATTTTGTTTTTTAACAGCCCTAAGCCAGACAAGGTCGTGATGTTGCTTTCAAGTTGGTTTAGTGGCCAAGGCTGCTCAAAAACATCCGAGATTTCCAAGGAATTTGTTAGAAACGTTTAAGTCTTTGTATTTATTAAGTAACTTATTAAGTTTAGTATACAAAAAAGTAGATAATAGAAATAGATAATAGTAGATAGATCACTTTTTACTAACAAAAACCTATTACCTAATATAGGGTGGCCCACGGAAGATTTACTTTTTAATATCCCTATAATAATATCAATATTTTCCAATGTTCTTCCAGCGTAAACTTAACC